AAACACCACTGCAACAGTTGGCTATGCATTGACGGAAACCAGCTAGTAAGTCATCTCGTGATTCCCGATGTCGCGAAGCAGGTCGGTTATACCTCACCTGACCTAGTCCAAAGCCTTCATCTCCAACCATGACCACCTCCTGACTCCTTGTTTTTCAATCCAGAATTGCACCACCCCACTGATTACCTGCCAAAGCATTGGCCGTCCTCGACTTGTATGCTTGTCTATCTCTGATAAATACATCAACAGTGATCTGGTTTGCAGGCAATTGCGAAGCTATTGAAGCGATCCACGCCCTCCCAGGCCGACCAAGGTAGGTCCACGTCATGTATCCTACGCCTTTATCTTGATGGCTCGGCTTCGGTCTCATCGCGCCGAGATCACCCCCTTTCATCACACTGACTGCCACGGCTGGTTCATCTAGCTCAAGCTATCCCATACCTTCTGTGTCAGGACTAATCAATGCTTTCTTCAAGACAGAAGCGACCATGGCGATCTCAGAGCAGCTCACACGCCTTCTCTTGAAATGGTGTCTCGCGGAAGCAGAAGGCGGGTTGCAAATGCAAGGCCGGATGGATTATCGGAGAGCGATTCTGAACGGATCCGAGACTGACAAGGCAATCCAAACGAATGGAGTTATGGATCGCCGAGCTAGCGGGCGATGTCGAAGCTTCGATGATCGTATTCGATGAACACCAGGCATCCTGGGCCAAGCGCGCAAACCGTAAGTTTCCAAACCCTCTCTTCCTACCAGGTTCCATAAGCTGAATCACGGCGACCAGAGCCGGCGCCAATAGGAAGGCCGACTACAGCACCGGGTGAGCAAAGCTCGGAACATCCGGCGAGCTCGGGAAGCTCGGCTGCTGCACCTGGCGAGCAGGAGTCGGAAGAGGCGGCGACCATGGGAAGCTCGACCGCAGCTTCTGGCTCACAGTACTTGGGAAAGCCTGGCAAAGTGGAGCACACCAACGCCGATGGCAGAGCAGACGATATCAACCTCGAGAGCGGAGCCAACGCGAGTCGAGACGAGGCGACCAACACCACCAGCTGTGAACCGCGAGCTTCGGAAGCAGACTACACTGACCTTACGGACTGTTACGGTATTACATAATACCTCCACATATTTATGTACATATATACCCCTAGCTTCCCCGTTCTCTTCCGACCTTGCCTCTTCCTTAGATATCGTTGAATCTAGATGTTTCATCCCATCAGCCCTGACCAGCGCAGCTGCAGGCCTGATTGTCACACGGACGAGGACGAGGTTGAGAAGGCTCCCAGCAACGGTTGGATCGTTGAGGCAGTGGTCGGTGAGCCCCTTGAATCTACGGACACAGTTGAGACCGAACATTATATCAGCAACGAGTCGCTCGTTGAGACAACAGGCGCGGCCGAACTCCTTCCAAGCAACGAACCGGCTATCGATACAACAGGCGCAGCCGAACTCGTTCCCAGCGAAAAATCGGCCACTGAGACAACAGGAGCAGCCAAACATAGTTCCAGCAACGACCCCGCTATGGAGACAGTCGCCAGCGAGCCCCTTAGAGCTACGGACACGGGCGAGGTTGTGGAAGCTGCCAGCAACGAGCTGACTAGCGAGGAGGCCATCCCGGCCTCGAATACCTCTCTTAACAACCAGGCCGGTCCTGACCACGAGGATCTGCCGATGGAGATCCCGACCGCTCACCATAGAGCGGAAGGGTCTGAAGGCCCGGGCGCCGAGGCTGTCGATTTCAACGGTGATCAGGGAATGGAGGACCCGCCCATCATCGATGCTGTGCATCTTCCAGGGGATGGCGAGCTCATGACTACCGGTGAGGGTTACGGCGACGAAGGCTTCTACCAGGAACCCGTCAGACATCCAGCCGCCAGAGACGATGTGGTCAGCTCAGGAGCTGCTACCCGTTCAATTGATGTCGAAGATACTTCTCAAACGGACCACAGCAATCCCAACGACGATGTCGCACCCACTACAGTGGAATGCCAGAGTAATGAATCCAATGACGATCCGCTAACGGGCGATCCGTTCGCTGACGGCAGTGCGGGCGTCTCGGGAGCTATACACCACAAAGATACAGCCAATAGTCAGGTCCACGGAGCCAACGACAATGATCATTTGATGCAGGATCGGCATTCTGGTGAGACACATTTGCAAGCTTTGCCCGACTGCACTACGGTGTCTGCTGAACCGGAGGTTGAAGAGAATGATCGCCCTGACTTGGCTCGAAAGCACTCCATGGAGAATGCGAATGACGGGCAACGCCTATCAAAAAGACCCCGCCTGACAAATTTCGACCGCGACGAGTCAGAGAGCCACGCAGAGTTTCTTGATGAGGAGGCCCACGATACTAAGATGAGCGATGTAGAACCTGAGCAACCCCAACACGAAAACGGCGTGCCCGAGGACGACGATTTAGAGTACGAAAGCTAGGGTCTTTCCGCACTCGAGGCCGCCAACTCCGAAAGCGACGACTCCGGGGACGACCGCGTCGAGGCCAATGACTCAGGGGAAGACGAGTTCGTGGCGGACAATTTCGAGAACGACGAATCGGATGAAGAAGTAGCCAGAGAAGACGGCGATAAGCACGGTAAAATCTCTGGTGATGCTGAGTCTCGCCCAACCTTCAAGCGAGCGGAGTTTTTCGAGATAGATGGCCAGGAGGTGATGTTCGTCTGGCAGCCAGAACCACAGAGCGCCAAGAGCGTGCTTTGGCAAATTGGACTCCGGAGGTTCTGAACATGATACCGGCGGACCTCCCCGGACGGAATGTTTTGATGCTACAATACGTGATCTTACGACAGGTATGCAAGCCAGCTGGTGGCAGGCTGGACGTCAAATCGTTGACCTCGTACACGCACATATACATAGCCCTCACCAAGGCCCTCCAGCGAGCTTCCAAGACACACCCAGGCCCCGGTAACGCGCGAGAGGCCACTGTCACGCTCAATGCATTCGACTTGGCGTGCTGGCAGCTATGCACCGACCAAATCAAGTGGACGAGCCGCAGCCGCTACAGTACTACAGAAGTGATGAGCCATATCAAGGCGCAAATGAACGAGCCTGGCTTCATCAGTAAGGTATTGAATAGGGAGCTGAGGGAGTTGAGACCATACTCACCTAAGTACTGTAACGCGCAGTCGAACGGGAAAGGCAAGGAGGCGGTCAGGGTCCCGAAGATTGCAGACGGGGAGTACCGCCTGACGATGAGGATCATTAAAGAACCCCCCGTCACAGCCGATGTTGGCGGAAAACAGCCAACGAAGTACCACACCATCCTGAACAATATCAATCCCGACTTCCTGTGGTGGTATTCCCTGGACTTCGTGGACTGCCCAGCGCTACGGCAGTGTACCGCGGCGGAAGCTGAAGGATCCCGCTTCCGTGAATGGAACGGGATTTGCGATGAGACGGGCGACGTGACTGGTGCGCAGCCCGCGCGATCCGGTGATGATCTGCAGAGTAATCTCGACTTAGACGTTATTGCCGGCTCGAGATCAGAGATTGATCAGACGGAGTCTGGAAGTGATCAACCGGAGTCGAGGGTTGAGGAACTGGAGCTCAAACTGGAGCACGAGCGGATCAAGAATGCACAGCTCCAAGCTATGATGGCACAGGTAGCCGAGCGGTTGACCAGTGCTATGACGATGGAGTCTGGAGGACTGGCTGGCACCGCGATCAAGCCTGCACGGGGCGTCGGTCAAGGCGGATCTGAAGCAACTCAGACAGAGGCCTATAGGCCAGCAACGTAGTCCCGCATCGCGAGTACGCAATCATATTGATCATCTCTAGCTTCCCGGAACCTCCCTGCAACCGCGAGAGAAGCGATGAGTACGCCAATGCATTATGACTACCTGCTCCTGAGGATCTTCCCGGTACGATGCATCGACGCGCCTTGAACGAGCTCCCGGTGGGTTGTATACCAACAGCTGCCAGTCATGGGCCGCCTACCTGCGTCGGAACAACACCACACCACACCACGCGCTTACCCCCTATCCTCCCCCCCTATTCATACCCCTATTCCTGCCCCTATTCCCGCCCTTATTCCCGCCTTTATTCCTACCCATTATATCCTATAGCATTGAGCGAGACGGGTCACGGCGTCGCGAGGCCATCTTCACCAGATTTCACAGCATATTTATTCCACGTCACCCGAAGCGACTTTGCGATGGCCGCCACAGTCGATAGCTTCCACCTGTGTATTGCAATTGCAGGTGGGCGACGGAGTTCTCATCACCGACGGAGAATCCGGGCATGGGTTGAGGTTCTTTACTTGCTTGGCGCGGCACATCGCCGGCGCACTCACGGGTATCGAGATTGGTGGCCATGTATACAGGTTGCATCCACCTCAATGTTGAATTAGATAATACTGCGTCGACTTTTACTTACAGGTGAACTTATGCTTATGCATCCCAGACCTATTCAGATTGGGGATTGACCACACCTGATCCCTTCCAGTGACCTCTCCGTCGTTTCCTCTGAGCTTACACGATACGATGTCTGGACGACGACATCAAGCGACGTGGCTGGTATAATCGGCCACGCGGACTGGAGCATGAAATCATCGCTACCGTGAAAGCCGGCAGCACTGCTGTCCTTCTTGTTATGGCGATTACTCAGGCTCTCGGCAAACGTCTGAGTCATCCAGAATATCTTTGTGCAGGCACTCGCAGCCAGCCAGCCTCTTTTTAGTCAGCCGTAGCCAGCCAGGTCATACAGGGCATCGCGACGCTGCGTGGTCAGTACCTTCCGCATCGACAAGAAGCAGAGTTGGAGTAAGGTGTCGGCACCACGGGGGTGCAGTGGACTGTGAAAATCCATGAAATTTGCAAGGCACAGTGCACTCAAGGACTACAACCAGAAACTACAGGCCACTGCAACCCCAGTCCTCCCCTTGCGTCAACCCCTCCTACAGTCCGACATACGAGTCCCCGGAAGCCTGGCGAATAATCAGAAGCTACCCGCTACTATCGAATCCATAAACTTCAATACCACTGGAAGCTCAAGCTTTGCTCGGAGTCTCACGATTGACAGGTTCCAACTCTACAGCCGCCGCGAGCTCGAGCTGCTTGTCGACTCCACGGTTCTGCTTGGCCTGTACCTCCTTCCCTTCAAACATAAATGCCAATTCCTCGAGTGAGCGGTCCTTTCATGTTCTTGTCAGCTGATAATCATGGTAAGATATATGCTGTGTGTCGAACTCACCTTTGTCTCTGGGAAAAGGCAATAGACCGTGGCAATCTCGACGAGAATCCACACGCAGTAGACAATGTAGTACCGCCAACCGATTGAATCGAGCGCGATCGGATTGACGAAGGTGTTGAAGAAGACGGCTACACGCACGGCGAGCTGCTCCACGGCGATGCCCTGCGACCGTTGGCTGTACGGAAATATCTCGATCAGGTACGTGTAGGCAAGCGCGTTCCAGCCAATGTTGTAAAATCTGGAGTCCGGTCAGCCTTCTCTCTTGGGGAAAACCCTTTTCGGGAATGCTTACGGCGAATAGACAAAGATGAAGACTATTACAGCAATGCCCGCAGCTGCTGTGTTGTGTATGGCGTACCGCGCAGAGGCGATTGTCCAGACCGTCTGTTTGCCCACGGATGATTAGTCAATGGCCTCGAGATAACGAAGTCGAATAACTCCACAGGCCGAATTTACCCATGGCCACATCAAAGCCTTCTCTTTTTCTGTCCTAACGGGCCCAACTACACTTACATATACACCTGCAATCCCGATGGTGCAGGTCAAGAACATGGCCCGGCGTCTGAAGCGTGGCACGGTGAGTGCAATTGGGACACCGCATATGAGATCCCAGCAGCTCTTGCTTAAGATGATCTTTTGCACAGTCAAGTTATCGGTAATTCCGACCAGGTTCAGGATCTTCTTCATGTAGAAGGACAATAAACCGTTGCCACTCCACTGGGAAAAGAAGCCAATGGTAATGGCGAGCACTATTCGGAGCATACAAGGTCAGCAAGATACAACAGGAGCCATGTTGGACTCAAGGCGATATATGGAATCAAGGTCACGGAGCACCTACAGAATCGTCGCCGCATGGGTGCGTCGCGAAAGACGTTGGCCCAGACAAACGCCTTGCTAGTCTCCTTCTCGAGGGAGAGGGTGCTCTGAATCTGAGCAAACTCGAGGCGGACAAACTCGTCGCCATTGTCCCCCTCACCGTGGTACGTTGACAGTATATCAAATGCCTCATCCGACCGATCGCTCGAGACGAGCCAACGCGGGCTCTCGGGGCAGAAGGGCAGGAAACAGACTTGGCACAAGCTGGGAACAAGCTGCAGCAAACTCGGAAGCCGCCACGACCAGCTGCTAGCCATCTGGAAAGTGCCGTAGGTCGTGCCGGCCGCGACGATGGCGCCGACGAACCACGACGTGTTGAACAGCGACGTCATGATGGGCCGCTCCCGCTCGTACGACAGCTCGCCGATCAGCGACGACGCGTTGACGATGGCGAACGGGATGCCGAACCCGAGGACCCAGCGCGATGCGAGGAACATGTCCTGATTCCGCGCCCCCGCCTGCAGGCCCGCGCCCAGGAACATGATCAGCGAACCCATGGCGATGGTCAAGCGTCTGCCGAGGAGCTGCGAGAAAGATGGAACAAAGGGGACGGCCATCAAGCCGCCCAGCGAGTACATTGCGTTGAGCAGCCCCAGGCGGTCGCTGGTTGGGTTGCCAAAGTCTGTCAGATGATGAGTGTCAGCAAGATAATAATGATTAGTTTCAGGCGTCTTCGGCTACGTACATTCAACCCAGGACGGTACGGCTTGCAAGCTGTTCATCATGGACGAGTCGAACCCGGACGTCCACTCTACGCCGAGTGCACAGGGAACTAGGATCAGGTAGAGGAATCGCAGATTCGGCTTTCGATACCATTTCTTGGTGTCTTCTCGCGCGATGTTAGAGACCCGGGGGTCTCCAAGCTCTTCCTTGTGGCCTATGATCGCCATGATATCGCGGGCCCTTCAGCGACACAACCAAAACTCGTTGGTAGACAAATAAGTTTATCACGGTTTCTTCGACGTCACAGCAAGTTGAAGTCTACATGTCGGTCAAGAGATAAAGGTGTATTTCTATACAAGCACTCACACCGCTCGGCCGCCGTATGGTACTGACACCACCAGTCCATTCAGGTCTCGACTTGACAGACTCGCCGAGCCAAGCTACTGGAAAGCATGACCATGACCATAATCCATTGGCCATGCCGACCCCGGATATATGCTGACAAGCGGCGCATGGAAAGCGGGGAAGCCTGGAGAAGACAACTTCATCGAGGGAATGTCGGGGTTGGCGGTGGTGTGACCATAAGCGACGTCTTGGCTCTGAACCGGCACACTGCTGCATCCAGCCCTCGAGACCTGCCGCCAGCATTGCCGCGCCCCAGGAACCAGGTGACTTGGGCATCTCCGACCTCCTCGGCTCCCTGCTCTCTTACCAATGGTTGTGACGACTTCGCATCCAGCCCCTCATCACCGCGAGAGATACGAGTAGAGGCTGTGCGTTTTGCTCTGGCGTTGCTGATGTGAGCAGGCGAGCGTAAGGACTACAAGGAAGACTGCCAACCAGAACGAGATATTGGACACGTCCTCGAAGAGCATAAAGGTATTAGCATTGTCGGTAATATCAGGGTAACAGTCTAACCCCCCTTTCCCCTGTCGAGAGTTCTTACCCATCTTCACTCCAGCTCTACAAACCCGGCTCCCCTTCTGCCATACTCCATGGCAACCAAAGTCAAAACGCAAGTGACGATGGTAGGGAACGTCCCCCTATCTTCCGTCACACCCACCGAGAAGATGCCAACACCGCATCCGCGAAGGAGCAATTCACGTCCCCAGATTTCTACCCAAAGCAAATCACCGTCGTCTTCCAAGTGGCCGAGACCGGCGCCAGTGTGACAGCAACTTCGCCTATCGCATACAGAACATGCTGCGGACCACCACGACCTTTGTCTACTGCACGAACTAGGGCAACCCGGGGGAGAAGAAGACCTTCGCCGACATGATCACCAAATGTGAATGATCTATCAACGGCACCCTCAGCGAGGAAAGCAAGGGCTATAGCCTACAGCGCCCTCGACCCGACAATGCACATGTTTGTGGCGCGATGCTCTACGCGAACGGCATCGACATCTACAAGCGGGTGTCCGGTCAGATCGGCGACGATGCGATCCATGGACAAATGTACATGGAGTATAGCATCCTGGCCTGCGCCCAGCAGGTCCCCCCCTGAGATGAGGCCGGCGAGCCGCACGGCTCGCTGGGAGACTGGGACCGTCAGGTTGCGCAGTTCGGAGTGACGTATCATGCGCAGGACTTCACCAAGGGGCTGCTGTTCCTGACCAAGGCACCGAGATATATTCACATCCTGATGCCGAGCGTCCGACTATGGCGGGATGGTTGCCGAGGAAGAGACTAGCGGCGCATCTGAAAGTGTTCGAGAAGGCTTGATGGGTATGTGTCTGCCTTTTCGACTTGATCTGTCTGTGTCAGGCTCTTGAACTATCGAAGTCTCGATGAAGGCTTCTCGGCTCTGGATCTCTAGGTATAGCAACCACTGTCCATAGCAAAGTCAGCATGGTGTCTAATTAGGTGATATATTGCGGGTCACCTGTGAAACAGCTATTCAGCCTGGCCTTTCAATCTCTCTCCAGGAGAACCTATTTCGCTGACAGCAACTGGGTAAGCCTCCACACACCCGATATCTGATACTATTCCTCATGGATGATGGGTTGATTGGTGCCATGAGAAGGGGTTGACTCGTGCGGCTCGCGCGGCTCATCTGGGATGATTTATATGTGAACGAAGTATGTGCTTTCGTCTATAGCAAATAGGAATTGTTCAAGCTGGACTCACCGCTATTCAAACTTGCCATGCTCCGGTGACGGATGGCGATCCGGGCTCCAGAGCCGTCAAGCTCCTTACCAAGGTTCCCACACAAACGAACCGAGGATTGGTATCTTCGGGTGCGGTCATTCGCGTGTAGCGTGTTGGTTGCTCTGGGCTGGAGAGGCTTAGGTTCCCTCGTCAGCATCTCGCCCACCCTCCAAAGGCAGGTCCGTACTGGTGCACGCGGACTGCGGCAGACGAAGGCCCCTAGACGGCAGCGGTAGCTGAGCTTGGGACTGACAATGAGGCATGCGCCTGCTAACTTGCACACTTCAGTGTACTCACGATGCATTGACACGCGGTATTTTGTAGTTGGTAGACGACAAATAGGACGAGCAACGGCCTCCACCAAGACCTCCTGGACTGGAGAAGCTGTGACCAATCGAGAAGATCAATATTCACACATGGAGCTAGAAAGTTGATAAGGCATGTCAGGAATAGAGAATCACCATCTATTGTTTAAGAAGGTACATATGATTCAAGGACTTGAGGCACCGAGGATTGAGGTCCTGATTCCTACTCGACGAGGCGAGTAGAAAGCTCCCAGCCAGAGGAGCAGGTGTTCCTGAAACAAGGCATGTGCGATGTGATGATGTTTGGGGCAGTCACTCCGCAACGACTTCAAGAGGTCATGTATGGGCACAAAGCGCCATTGTGACGAGGTTCATTAACAATCCGATACCAAAGGGAAACATGTGTGTTCTCCTCCGCAGCGGCGAGGCATCGAACAGAAGACATCCTTGGCCAGCGACCTGCCGTGCTATCCCTGCCCTATCCATGATTCATAGAAAGTAGTCCTCAAATCGCGTCGCACGACCCAAACCGACCGTTAACGCCGAGAGAGGTAATATCGGAAAAACGAGAACTGGCGGCTTTAGGCAGCGTCGCCAAAGGTGTTCTCGCCGGAGTAGGTGATGTAGAGGAATCTGTTCGAGCCTTGTATTAATCAAGGTTAGGTGTAATACAAGAGGGCAACGTACCCATCCTCGTCCTTGTGCTCCTCGTAGATGCTGCTCATCAGCGCGGCGGTCGGGGGCAGGACCTCGTCGACGAAGATGAAGATGGCCTTCTCGGGCGACAGCTTAATGCGCTTGCGGATGACGTAGACAAACTGGCCGACGGTGAGATCTGCGGGAACCAGGTACTTCTTCTTGTCGATGGTAGCGATGTCGGATTTCTCGACCTTCTCGCAGATAACCTATAGATTGCCAAATAAAGTAAGCCCTGTGGTTCATATCGGATAGATCACAAGAGGAGAGACGTACGGGAATGCGGTCAGAGTACTTCTGGCGGATGCGTTCGGCCTCGGCCTTGCGCTTCTCGAAGGGGTGCTCGTCCTTGAACTTGCTTCGCATCTTGGCGGTGTTGCTGGTGATAATAGACGGCGAGTGTAGAGATTCGTATGGCGCGAGCTGGCTGGGCTGGAGTGTCAGTCAACGCTGGGTTGCAGAGATATGAGTAGAGCAGTAGAATAGAAGTCAGGTGGGGTTGTAGGAGACGAGGTAGTAGGTAGGAGCAAGAAGAGGGATCAAAGGATAGGATGACTGACAGGAACCTTGTCTTGACTGGCTGAGTGATGAAAGAGACCGGAATGGAATGGAAGGGCAGAGCGGTATTGGGTGAGACTGGGGACGGGGAGGGAGGTGTACGTGGTGGGGGGCGCCACGGGCTGCCGGGGAAGGGTTGCCTTGGGACCGCAGCAGCTGGATGGAGGTGGCAGGTGGCGGGTAGCAGGTAGCAGGTGATCGACGATGGATGATGATGGACGGGGTGACCTCCAGTGCTCTCTACGTGCCTTCTTTGTTGTGCTATCAAAGAAAGACTGTACGTACATGTACCTCGACTGACACCTTTGATTGACTGACTGGGTTAGATGTATGTAGTTGGCGACTGATGACCTGGACTGAATGACTGCAGGTGACGGGACTGACCGATTGATAGAGAGAGCCGGCGATGGGAGAAGATGATGTGATGAGATGCGTGACTAATAACAACCGCGGGAAGAGGACGGACAGGCTGACAGGCATGCTTAGTGGACGAGAGCTGGGAGGGGCGGGGCGGCATGTACGTCTGATGTGAGGACTGGACAAGGCGACGGGAAGCCACAGGGAGCCACAGGGAGCCACAGTGGATCACCGCGGGGCCAGATTCGATGCTCTAAATGGCGGGGCATTCGAAACCAGCCTTGCCTTATCTTGCCTTATCTCTGCGGGATGGGCCGGGTGGCTGGCAGCTGGCTGAGTCTGGTGGCAAGGTGAGAGACTTGGTTATTAAAGCTGCCACACTTACATGTACCTATACAAGACGACACCACCAACAACCTCGCCCTCATCTGTTGTTGTGTGATTCCTGGGCTCTATTCAGTCACTTGATGGTCGGTGACTACCTAATTATAATCACATGCTGACTCAGTGGGATAAAGCCTTTCATAGCACAGCAAGACTAGACACCCGCAAACACGTACGTGTAATCACGAGCTCAACTTTATGTCTGATACGCTGATGCCCTCTTTCTCTTTGTCTACCAAACTGCTGATAGTTCCCAGCAACCCCCAGAAACCCCCCCTTTGCTTGTCCTCCTAACACCTCTACCTGGCCATCGACGCGGGTAAAGTGTAGTTCCCTCCGATATCGTGCAGGTAGATGAGACTGTTGAACTCGGTGTACACCGTCTTCAGCTTCCAGTCGTCATCGTCGTCGTCGTCGCCGCCCTTGAACGCGACCAGGACCGTCATGCCCGCCACGGGCTGCGCACTCTCGCCAAAAGTCTGCGTCCATCGAAGGACCACCGTGTCGCAGGTGATGGCATCCACCGACTTGACGTCCAGCGGGATTGCCGGGAAGTTGGACTGCTCCCTGATGAAGTCGTCTTTGGTTGGGAACGTGGCGCTGCCGAGTGGTTTGCCCGAAAGTGTGTTGATCGAATCGCTAGTGTCGGAGAAGTCGTCGCTTAGCAGGGCTTCTGCTTTCTCAACGGTGAAGGCTCCGATGAGATCGGCATATTTTGCGGTTATGTTGAGTCCTTCTTGCCGAGTGAGGCACGTGTGATTACCCAGGTAACCCCCTGACCCAGTCAGTCGAGGAGAGACCGTTGCAAAACCGAGCTGGCTAGCATCACCATGGCCATCAGAAGGTTGGTATTCAAATGCATCGTCGGCGCGCTGATGGGACGAATCGCTCGGCTGTGGAGGAGGCCGCGGCTGGTGGTGGTAAAACTCGATGATGTCTGGAGATGGCTGTCAAGATAGAGAAGCAGGTTTTCTGGTTGCATGCCAAAATCTAGCAGCCCCCAAAGCATCCTTTTTATATTCGATTTTCCTCGTCGGGGTGCGTGGACAATCCTGACGACGAATGTCCGATTTCCTGAAGCTCGAATATCGGTCGAACGCAGCTATGCCAACTGACTCCGGTACGTTCTGACCAACAGGGAGGCGCAGGCTTTTCTGTTGGTCACATATGTATACGTTTTAGTTAGCTACATGCAGCTCCCAGAGTATCATCTTGATATCTGAGGCCGTGTGACCGTTGTTGGATTCGGGGGCTACTTCCACTGCGAATCACCCCTAGAGTCCTTCCCCCTTTACACGGACTTGTGAGCGCAACACTTCAACCAACAGATGCTACTCGAAGCGATGTGCCGCAGAGCTGCTGATCTAGGCCTGCGAGTGTGGTACCAGAAACGATTATCCCCATACGGACTTCCCCTTGCCGAATCCAGCTCGACCGTCTCGTACCCAATGTCGCGACCCAACTGTCCACGTCCTACTACGCGAGAGCCACAAGCCCTCCGGCAAGCAGTGCCGCGGCCAACCAGTACCTCGCTTCTTCTCAAGCTTCCATCAGAAGTTCGAGGTTTGCGTATGTTGGAACCCAAACGTAAGGTCGTCAAAAGTAGTGACATGTTCTCCAGAGTACCTGTTCCCAAACGCACTTTTGTTGGTCGCTAGTCAAGGGTTGCGTGGTGGACCTACATTCTGGTGTCACCCCTTATCTCACAGTTGATTGCAACCCCTTCATCACAAACAGATGTGTGTTTGTCTGTAGCTTCCCGCAGCCTGAGTGTCTTGGAGTCAATGATGGGAGTCAAGCAATCTCCGCAATACGGAATCACCTTCCACGTGTGGTTCTCAACGGTCCTTCCGAATCACCTACCGTGACATTCCAACAATCTGCAGATGCCTGCCACCTGCACACGCATGCCAGATTCAATGGCTAACGCTTTGGTAGAGTGATTGTATTTGACTGTTGTAAACCTGCTTAATCCACTATGGAACGATGCTGTGTTGGCATGCTGGGCGTGGCGATATTCTCTCATCGGATCACGTCGCCTTCCTTATCAATGCCCTCCCCCATCTCCAATATGTCACTCCCGGCCAGCACACCGCTACCCAGCGTGGTGGCCTTGCGCCCGGCCATCCAGACCTCGTGGAACTTGACGCTCTCGTCACTGCTCGCCACGACGATGCAACCTTCCTCGGCCGTGCGGCTTCTCAATCTCTCCTTTGTACGATACGTGTCGCTCGGACCGCCGGGATATGCAATGGCGTACAGAGCGCGGTGTTCGCCGTCCTACGGTATAGCAGCGACTTGCCGGCAGTCTGGCCAACTGAAGACGGCGATCCGATACGGATGATCGGGCTGTGCGTAGCCAAACGTGGCCGCTATCTCGCGCCGCGTCGTGCTCCAGATCAGAGACGTGACCTGGGCCGCGACCGAGATGGTGGCCAGTGCTGCACCAGAAGACGCATGGTAGAAGTGGATGCATTTGTCGTTGGAGCCGCCACCCGTCGCGATCAAGCCTTCGCGCCACGGGCAGAAGGCGATGGCTTTTACGGCGGCGGCGTGACGCCATCGGTGCTTTGCTGAGCCTGCCGGTAGATACTTCACAGAGCTTCGGGTACTGCCAGGTTCGGAGGCATCCTCCGAACGAGAGAGTGCAGCTCCATCACTTGATGCTGAAGTGCGTGGCGAGCGGGGCTCAGTGGCGGCAGTCTCAGATCTTGTCGTCGGCTCTGCTTCAGGGCTACCTTTTTCCTCGGTGCCGATGACCTTGTCAACGTCGAAAAGGCAGCACAGGTTATCGTTGCCTCCTGTAGCAAATTGCGTGCCGTTGGGGGACCAAGCAAGACCGCAGATTTGCTGCGAGTGGACCTTGATACGAGCAAGCAGAGTCATGGCGCCAGGCCAGTTCTCCCGAGCCACTTCCTAAGGCTCAGGCCACTCGACTGAGTAGTAATAGATATCCCCTAGCTCATCCCCCACCAGGAGGTCCTCGGTCCTGACCATCACGCCCGGGTTTTGTGGGTTCAGCGATGGTCTCAACGTGACAACGGGACGCCAGGAGAGGCAAGATACCTGCGCTGGCTGTTCAGCCTCAAATCGAGGCAGTAGACTGTCGAAGAGAGACACCAGGGATAGGACACCGTTCGATCGTCCAAAGGCCAAGATGGACTTGCCGCCCATGTACGATGAGAAGGAAACTGAAGTCAGCCACGAGCCGTCTTTCATGCCGGCGTTCAAGAGAGTGACGCCAGATGATTCCGACCATCCATACAGCAGGTTGCCCAGGCCAACGACCAGGGTGTGGCAAGACGGTGAGTAGGCCATAATTGAGCAATAGTAGTCGTCTCGGAGACCGGGAGCATCCAGGACCCTGCGAACAAGTCAGCGCTACCAACATGCCGGAGGTCTAGGGGGCTTACTTGAATGGAGCATTGGGGAGAATCCGCACTTCTCTCTGCAGCTCTGCAGCGGGTCAGTGTCTACCCTTTGGCAAGGTGAAGTAAGAGGATCTGGCTTACTGGGGGTGTGGTCGTCATTGCTCCATTCAGTCCCATTCCAGATTGTCTTGGTAGATCGTAATGAAGGTCTGCCTTTGCTCTTGCATCGTGGGAAGGTGGAGTAGCCGTCAAAGTCGAGGATACGTTGTCCCCGGTCGATCTTCAAAGCCAAGGCAAGCCGACCCTCGTGTTTCTCTTGGTCTTCTTCGGATTTTGGACGGGAGTTTGAGAACGACGTGGTATAGAGGCGAGCGTTGGTACCGGAACTGACCAGTCGACCACGGCCGCCGTCGACGACTAGGCTACCGGGAGCTAGACCACCGACAGACCACACAGTCCCATTGCTGACCTGTCGTTCGAGGGAGTGCAGGTCAAGCACGGTGCCGACGCGGCGGTCCGCACCTGCACCCGAACATTCGGACCGGATTGCTCGTCCTCGCCGAGTAGGGATGGGGGTGGAGTGTTTCGGGTGGAAGCAGAATGCGTCAGACCCGACAGTGTCGGTCCGGAGCAGTCGTTCAGAGGGCGACAGCTCGTGTGCCGACTTGTTGGCTCTGAAGCGGTCTGATAGCGGCACGCGGAAGGGCACGAAGCGGTCGGCGGACGCCATAGGCATGATGAATATAAAGAATGAATGAAGCTATTCAGATGCCACACCTACCTATACCCGAGGGGAAGAGGAAAAGGAGAACTTAGGAGTCTGAGGTTCGAGAGGGATGGCATATCTACCTGGGCAGGCTGGATTTGACATGCAGCTGAAACAGAGGAAGCGCCGACTGACGAGAAGAAACTGCTCTCCCTCTCCCACTCACATACTCACCTCCCTCCATACCCACGATGATGCAGGCTGGGCAGGTGTAGCCTTTCCATTCCATCGAGCCTACCTGGGCTACAGTATGGTGCGACCTTCATAGTTGCAACTGTAACTGCAACAGAGGTTGTCCAATCCATAAGGTAGACTCGTCCGGTACGAAAGGCTAAAGCTTCCCTCATAAGGAAGTACAGTAGGTTCTTGCCCTCAGCTTCGAAGCTCCTCTTTTGGACCACGCAGAAACACCGAGTAAAACTCTCACGAGATTGGATATGCGTATGTCCAGCGAGAGCAACAATTGAATATGCGATGCGTGTTATGCAATAGTTGAAGTCCCGTCAGTTGCCGAGGTACGTAATCAGATAATGAAGTCTACCTAGGCTTTATCGATAAGGTTGCGGGCAACACTCGGAGCATCGCATCCCATCATCGTGATTAAGTAAGTAGGTATCTGTGCCTCTTATTGACAGGCTTAATTGGCAAGGCCTATGCTTCTGTCTGCTCGGCCAGGAGATCGAATCGCCACTACCCTACGTATGGACGTAATGCGACCTCGACATGGATAATGTACGTGCCGTGTTGCCTTCACCTCGAGGACACGAGGACACAACAGGCACTGATAGACACCTAGCACGGCATAGCCCGCGTAGCCCGAACCCTCCGAACCGACGAGCAACGCCGTCAAGACGTCGAGAAGATCAACAAGTACCGCCAACTTGACGAGTCGATCCGTGCCCAGGCCTCGAGCGGCGCCTACGACCCGGCCCTCTTCCAACTCACCTCCCGACTCCTCCGCCTGAATCCCGAATACTACACGATATGGAACGTCCGTCGGCGTTGTCTAATCTCTGGCTTATTGTCCAAACCGTCGGCTGGATCCTGGCCCTCGAAGGCGTCGCCGAGTTCTTCTCTGAGCGACACTACGAAACCGTCATGCGACGAATCCTCGTCCTCTTCCTCGGCTGCGATCCCGCCAGACCCCAGCTTCCCGACGACTGGGAAGAGTGGTACAACGGCTGAACTCACTGGATCTGACCATCAGCAGCCGCCGTCCGAGAGCGATGTGGCGTCGGACATCAATATGCTGCAATCTGAGCTCGCATTCACGATGCCCATGCTCCTGGAACACCCCAAATGCTACTGGATCTGGAAGTACAGGAACTGGATCCTCGAGCAAGCCATTCTCCGACTGCCTGCCCAGGCCGCAAGGAAGATATGGGAAGCCGAGCTGGCCCTTGATTCCATGATGCTGACCAAAGACACCCGCAACTTCCACGCCTGGGGCTACAGGCGGCGCCTGGTCGCCAGGCTCGAGAGTCCTGCACTCCTTGGGAAGAGTATGGTTGAAGACGAGTTTGACTACACCACCATGAAGATAGAGGGGAACTTGTCAAATTTCTCCGCTTGGCACAGCCGAAGTCGTTTGCTGCTGCGCTTACTTGACGAACGAGGACTTGATGACAAAGCGAGAGCAGCTTTTCTTGACGAGGAGCTCGAGTACATCCAAGAAGGGCTGAATGTCGGGCCTGACGATCAGAGTCTGTGGTACTATCATCGCTATCTGGTGTTGCAAATCGTCGGCCGTGCTACTGGCCAGTCCTCGATCGCCCCGGCATTGGCAGTGGAAGAAAGAGTCGCTTACTTGACAAAGGAGATACAGTTTATTAATGAGTTGCTTGAAGACTACGGAGATATCAAGTGGATTTGCAAGGCCCTTCTTGAATACACCTTGGCCTTACAGGAGTTAAGTCAAGGCAGTGACAGTGACGGCCAGCAGGATGATCCTCGGACATGGCTGGCAAAGCTGCGGAAACTTGACCCTATGCAAGCGGGTAGGTGGGATGATGTCGAAAGGAAGCTAGCCTCACATAGCACCCAAGCAGAACAATGAATGTTGGCTAACATTTTCTGTTCGTCCATCACCTGACCTGTCAGCTATCTGGTACGTCTGTCCTTTTACGTCGACCTACGTTGGGATTGTACCGTTACATTTACCAACCACTAAGCTGGCATTTATACCAGCCAAGCCGTCAAAATATGCCAGCAGCGTCTCGACCGACAGCATGTCAATCAGACCGAGACTAGGGTTTGATGATCTGAGTTTCTGGCCACCAAACAGAACGCGTACATAATAGCCACTTTCACTGGACGACGTGGGCGTCGACACCTCACTGTTGGACGTCGATGTTGGCGTCGCCATGTTGGACCGTCTATAGAGCTCGAACACAACTTCACTGCCCATCCCAGGCCACACCATGACATCAGCCTGGAGAACGCTCAGCAGTCGGCTGACGGATCCGTCGTGGGCCACGTTATGAAAGTAGATTGGACCTGGTTCACCGGCCATTGCATCACGCAGATGGGCGCTCAGTTCGGCAATCCACACTCCATATGAAGTGGCCGACGCGGCGAGGGAAGATCGAGCATCGCGGTAGATCTGCGAATACTCCCACTGGCCCATACGATAGACCGCGTCGGCCAGGGTCTGATCCACGCAAGTGATCGACTTGACCCCGTCCACCAACTTGCACGGCAGAGGTTTGGCGTGGCATTGTCGAGCCGAGAGGTTGTCGTAGTAGTGATCAAAGCTGGCGTGGAATCCAGAGTCGGTCGAAGGCACTCCGGAAATGTCGTCGAGGGTGCCGAACAGGTCCGTGGCGGCGTCCAGGTGGTTCTGCCACGCGACGTTCGAGGACGACTTGATGTTGTTGAACAGGTCGTTGCCGACGCTGCAGCTGTACTGCGGCTCCAGGCTATCGACCCCTACACCCTGGATCGTCAGGGGCACCGGGTCGGTTGTCAACCACATTCCGTTGATCAGCATGCCGGCAACCTGGCTCGTGATGACATTCTGAGTAACACGGTAGGTCACCTTGCTGCGCCAATCTTCGTCTCTGGCGGGCAGGAAGCCAAGAAGATCGTGGTAGACGCCATACAGATCTTGCCCGTGAACCCAGGAGTCGTCAAGCCCACCGGCAGTGATCTGCGGAAATTGGCAGGTGCCGATCCAGCCCGACGGCGAAAAGGGGTTAACCGACGATATGTAGCCCTGCCAATAGGCTTCGGCAGCCTGCTTGTCGCTGGAAAGGGGTTCACCGTAGTAATACAGACCCTGGTCATCGCAGTTCCAGTGGTACGGCTCTACGGGGAAAGCATTGCTGGCATATGGGGTTCGCTTGTGGTGTCTTTGGATCTTGGAAGTCTCAATATCATGTTCACGGCACGCGCATACGGGTATTGACATACCACCTCGACGTACCGGAGCTCGTACTCGGCGGATGGCTTGACGTACTCGGTCTTGCGCACATGAGGCATGTTGCACCAGTTATACGTCCCATACTGCTCGATCGACGTATCGGACGTGTCGAAGATGAAGCCGTAGACTCCATTGGCATCGTTCAACACCGCCGTCAAGTTGTTGATAGAGGTATTGTTCGGAGGATACCATCCCAAGTCGACGCTCTGCGACATGGCGAGCGTGGTCCCCGACAGTATCGCCAGATTTGAGCCAGCAGCCCACGATCGGCCCCACCACCACATCGTCGTCAGTTGCTGAAGGGCGATGACACACAGTAGGAGAACGCCCACACTCAGTGCGACAATAATCTTGGATGTTGGCAAGGAGAGCATACTTGGCCGAGCTTATTAGTTGCGACCGGGAGCATCTCGCTTCCCGCCTGCTGCTTGTCGCTGGATGCGCACACCGGTATCACTTCGCATCTCTTGCCAAGACCCGGGTCGCTGGATCGTCCTCCGAGGTTGCCTCTCTTCGTGATTCCATACAGTATGGTCGCAAACACACGTTTCCACGGAAGCTACGCGGATTGGTTGAAGCTCTGTTTCCGTTGACGTCTCGGTAAAAAGTTGAGCCTGATAGAGTTAGATATAAACGTAACGATCGACACGGCTTATAGCAGCGCCTATGTATGTAACTAGACCGTAGCCACGCCAACTATATTGCATACTCGTGCTTCTCCTATCTATTTAACTACATACGTACCTGTGGGTTCAAGGGTATCCACCGCGAGCGCTGTTCACTTTGCGCGGAGCAAAGTAGAAACCGACTCGCGGTGGGTCTCCTCCCTTGAGCCTACAGGTAGCCGATTCTTGTTCTTACTTGTTTTACTCGGGACATGGCCTTCGTGCCTGGCGACGGTCGACCTCTTCGACGAAGAGACTCTTCAGTTACGACTGGCACTACCTCCACGCAGCCTCTTCACTTTGCGATGTTCCTTTACTCATTGGCCTCGCCATCTAACAAGTGTCCATGGACAGTGTTACGGGGGCCTTCATCAATCCCATGGGCGGTGGCTTCGGCTTTGAGATGGAACATTGAAGCAAACTGCTGTGGTGGCCGAGCACCGGCTCACTGTATCTGGGCTGCATCTGTGATGTTTTCGCCCAAAGACGCGCGCAGCATTGCTGGGGGGGCTGGAATGCTCGGCTGCTTGACTCCTGGCGAGTCATAGTCATACATGTTCTTCGCTGTGCTAACTCTTGCCACTGAAACCTAAACTACGAAGAAGCTTCAAATGGTCGTCTTCCCGTCCGCCTTGCTGTCGTCCGTTCGGCACTTTCCATCAAGGATTCGGGACGACCTCCCACTTCCCGTCAGGCAGACAATACCGGCGGCCACGGAGAGACCGGGCCCGGGATCCCGGATCCCATCTGGATCAAATGAACCTAACCTCTGCTGTGCAGGTGGCAGCCGGACGAGTGAGCTACCTGTTCATCAAAAGCTTGAGCTTATATGGCGAGTCTAGTGTAAACCAAAACAGCCGCGAGTTGAGACTTCCTTCCGCGTCTCGGCTGCCGACTGGGTCATGACCTCATCTGTCCGTCAAGGAGACGCGGGATGAATCATCGTGGAATCATCGTGGTGCCCAATTACCTTAGTCCCCCTATTGGCCAAACACAGCGTCACCGGTGGGTGCATATAATAACGAGAACAACTCGTCTATCTGGCCTTTCCTACCTGATACGAATCTAGACCTCGATCGTTACAAGTCTCCCCACCTCACAATTTCTCCCCTGACCTTACATCGCACCTCAGCCCCAGCGCGTACCTTATAGCACCGAACGACACAATGAAAAACTGGGGTGATCAACCAAGCGAAGGCGGCAAGGCTGGCCACCAGGGCGGCGGCAATGTCCCCAACCACACGGGTCCAAAGGGTGTAAGTTCTGGTCATTGACGAATTCCTTGCCCTCCCACCTGCGAAGCATCATTCGGTATCCCAGGAGCGCAGCGAAGAGGAGTGACCTCATGCGCTTTGCACGCAAGGCAACTCTAACGGTCCACAGATGGCCGGCCCCAATTACGACCCCCAGTGGCAGCAGAAGCGGTCCATGGACCCGGCCTCGGTGATGAAGCGGGAGAAACTGGCAGAGCAGAGGCCACAGGGTACCCTTGGCACCATGTGGCAGAAGTATGGAACCCCAAGTCTATGTATCCATGTCATGAGCTGACCCCGACGCCTACAGTTTGATGTCTGGACCTGGAGGTCCGACTCCCACTGGCAAGTGAGAACGGATGGTCGATGGTGCTGTTGGTGTCGCTGTTGAAGAACCCATGATGGCTTGTATAGATAGTGTACTTTTTAAAATGAGGAATGGTCGGCGGCAGGCCATCATGTTATGAAGGAATCCTCTGTTCTCTCGAATGCGTCCGCCACTATTCCGGGCAAGTACTCCAGGAGGGACTACTTTGCCGTCTGGAAAGTAGTCCACCTCTCAATACACATGGTCTCTAGATCATGCGGTTGACGCAAATCGTGACGGGGGTAGGCACCTCTTAATCTCATTACTAGTCACCTGTAGAAAATACCTATAAGTATTAGGACCATGACATCATGTAACGGCTCGGCACGAGACTCGCTACCGACCTAGATCAGAAGCCGAGGACATGGACAGGTTATACTACCAGGGGTGAAACATGCCATGGGGTGTTGGATGTGTATTACTGTTGAGCCGCGGGCATGGGCTATAGGTAATTATAGTTATAACTCTTTTAATCATCTGGCTATGGCCCTCGGTAGATACTTGGTCGAAATGCGCCTCCCCTCTACTCCTTGCACCATTTTTTTAGACATCGTGACACAAACGCCAACCAAGGAGCAAGGTGCGAAAAGAGTATATCGTACATGAGGTGATCACTGGTCTTCGTACGGTCGTAATCACCGGCATTAGTAAGTATCGAGGCGTCACGGAGCACGCCTGCCACGACAAGCCCCCATCCTTGACATCGACGGGCATGCCTGGCACCACCGGAATCATCGCGCCGATGCCCTGCTATCAAGAACACCTCATGTTGTCCAGGTGCTGGGGAAAAAATCAAGAGCGCGGGCGGAAATCGTCAAGAGCATCCAAATTCTCCATCCGTACCCGAATAAATGCGAGTCCCATATGTCCAGCCCACGGAGAATGTACGAAGCCGCCAAGCCGATACAAAAGAACACGTGGGAAAGGAGACAAAAGGACCATATCCAGTACCGACGCCGTTATGCTGATGATGACCCTTATTGAAACAAGTTGCTTGCGAGCACCGACACTATGCAGGGTTTCCTTTTTGCCGTTTTTGCATGCGGGGCGTCTGGGGCTTCTTGTTGGCCATGGCCATGCCGTTGACCTGGGGGCCGCCCATGCTCGCTGGCGTCGGTGCGCCATTCGCCTCCTCTTCCGCCTTGACCGTCGACGGCCGTCGACGCTTGTTGCTTGCCGGACTCGTGTTTGCGCTCGGGCCACTCGAGCTTGTTCCATGCTGGCTCTGCTGCAGCTGCATACCGGGCGCCTGCATATGACCCTGCGCAGGGCTGCCCATGTGAGGAGAGTTCGGCAGCTGTAGGTGCGTTGCAGCTGGTGAAGCACCCATAGAAAATTGCCCGAAGCTCGGTGTTCGCGGGTTCTGTGGGACGTTACCAGGTTGGTGACCGTTGACTGCTGGTTGCTGTGTGCCGTTGGTGATGTGTGTGCTGACGTACTGGTCCAGCGCCGAATATGGGGAGAGTCCCGGGTTGTTGTGGACGAAGTGGAATAGGGGCTGTAATCGAGAGTCAGTATTTGGTTATATCAGGTCGTCACAAAACCTAGCATGGAGGCACTTCAACCTTCGCGGGCCAGGAGAGATCATGCGGAAGAAGTGTGCGCACATGGGGACTTACATTCATCTGTCCCATCACCTCGACTATCTGTCGAGTCCACGTTAGTGTAACGTGCATCACTCGCCTCCCACAGATCACATACCTCGAGAAATTGGAAGACTTCTTCGGTTATGCCCATGTTGAGTTTGACCGCAGACTCGGGGAGGTCAAGGTCAGGAGGCGCACTCGGTGGCGATTTCATGGGTTTCGCCTTGCCCTTCTTTGGTATCTCGGGAGACATCTTGTTATCTTGGCCGTTCAGCTTATTCCACTCCTTTACCCAGTCGTGTGCTGGTTGTGCCGCGTTGATCACCATTTTCCTCGACACGAACTCCTCGTGGCCTGTTGTGACGAATTCCAAAAGCTCTAACCTCTGCTCACTATCGAACTGAGCTCGGAGACTTCCAGTTGCGACGACCTAGTGGCCCAGGTTAGAGTTGATTCCGCATCTGCCTGCACTGCCCATTGACTTACATGAGAATTGTCGAACCAGTATATCAAGCTAGCCTTAGGATTCTCAATAAAATGACAGCCGTGCGGTAGTGGCTTGTCTATAGTGCCTTTCTGGAACGTCATCTGAATCTGCTTGATGCCGCTCTGGAAATGGGTGTGGAAATATCTTGCCAACGCAGGTTGCGTAATCTCGTACTGTTTCTCAGTTGCTTGTTCCTCCTTGGTCGGGTCCGTGTCTAAAATCGAGAGCCGGAAGACGCCCTTGGGGGAGAAGAACTGCGACACAAAGGCCTGCCAGTACGCCAGGTCATCCTTGGCCTTTATACCCTGGCAAACGCGAGATTAGCAGTCATTTCCAGCTGAGGGGAAAGAAGGAGGACACTACGGACCAAGAACCCGCTCAGGTGTTCGGTAAACTGCATCAACTTCAAGAAACAATGCCCCTTCATGGCGTTGTCATTCTTCTGGTGCTGCTGGTGCTGCTGGTGCTGCTGCTGTTGGTGATGTTGGTGCATTTGCATCTGCTGGGCGAGATGCTGCTGTTGCGCTAACAACTGTGGATTCGGTTGCTGAGGCTGCGGTTGTTGTTGGTTCTGCGGCTGTGCTGGCTGCCCTTGTGGTGGTTGCGGCTGGTTAGGCTGTGCAGGACTCGGGCCTCCGCTATGCGGCTGGTTCGACTGGCTACCACCGGCGGGCGTCGGTGCTCTCTGAGGACCTTGGCTTGTCTGCTGCGGTTGTTGACTTTGTTGTTGCTGCTGCTGGGGTTGGGTTTGAGCCTGAGCCTGAGGCTGAGATTGCGGTTGCGGTTGAGGTTGCTGCTGGGGCTGCTGGTTTTGGGCTGCTTGTGGCATCTGCTGTTGAGCCAACTGTACCAATTGGGCTTGCTGCAGACTTTGGAGCTGCTGTGGCGTCATCTGGCTGGGATGGCCGGGTTGGGAGCCTTGGTGCATCTGATTGTTGGCTGCCTGTTGAGCTTGCTGCTGCAGTGCGAGCTGGTGAGCTAGCATCTGTCGTTGTGGACGTCGTCAGCACCCGAGATTTTTACAAGTCATTGCATGATCAGAGGAGTGGGTAAGGATTACCTGAGCGTGCTGGGGATTGTGATTCGGATGTTGTCCCTGTTGAGCAAGGTGTGCTTGAGCCTGGAGATGCTGGGGTAGACCGGCGCGTTGCATCGTGTTGGCATTCTGGCTCTGCCTCATAGCCTGATATTGTGCTGCGTTTATGCCCTGCATGTTCATAGGTACACCGCCATACATCTGCTGCTGCATCATGGCATGCCTTTGCTGTTGCTGAAGGATCTGTTGCTGGCGCATTGCAAGCATACCGTTATTTTGCACTATTGGGGTGGAGGTCTGTCAGCTACTACACGACCGACATGAACGCAACGAGGATGTTAGGAAAGTCATAGGTGATGGATGACGGAGACATAATAGGCAAGGGGACGAGAGATGAGAGGTCCGCGGAACGTACTCGCATACTGCTGCTGCTGCTGCTGCTGCTGTTGTTGTTGTTGTTGTTGTTGTTGTTGTTGTTGTTGTTGTTGTTGTTGCTGTTGCTGTTGCTGTTGCTGCTGTTGCTGCTGTTGTTGATGCTGCTGCTGCTGCTGCTGCTGCTGGAACATCTGTGGGCTGATGTGCTGCATCGCGTGCGCATTGGGACCGCCGGCGCCAGGAGGCATGCCTCCCATCATGGCGGCGGGATTGACCTGTCCACCCGGGCCGGAAACGGCCATATGAGCGGCCATCTGAGGAGGCATGCCTTGCTGGGCGCCCGGTTGACTTGGATTGTGCGCCATGCCCGGGGCCATGGGATGGCCGGGATGGACACCCGGATGTTGCTGCATGCCGGGGTGGAAGCTTGCTGGACCTATACTCGCCATCATTTTCAATATTGTCGATTATCCACAGCGTGGATATCGACACCCTGATTTCCTCGTTATGTCATGCGCTTGGTTTGGTCGAGGCTGTGGCGATGCGATCAGTCTGTCGGCCGGTCGACGAGCGGGCAGTGGGACTATTGCGGAACGGCCAGTGAGGCGATAGTCAAGTTGGAAGGACAGACTGCGATGCGAAAGGGCAGCTTAGAGACCAATTCGCAGTCGATGCGATGGGATGCGACGGAAAGGGATACGAGGCGACGGGAGGTGCGATGAAGCTGCGTACGCTGTCGCAAGCCCAGTAGCGAAGCGAGGTAGTCCGATCGGCTGGAGCAGTTGAATTCGATACTAAAGGAGGCGCGCCTCCGTCAAAGGGCAGTGCTGGCGTCGGTGTCGGTACCGGTACCAGTGTCGGAGTCGGTGTCGGTATCGGTGTCGACCCAAGAAGCGATGCCTCTCGGATGCCGTCTGTACGTTGGCTGTGATGGGATGTTGTGGCTCACCACCAAGTTCCACTTTGGGCGACGATACTGGAGAATACTGGACGTGGGTGTTGGAGACATGCAGGTCTTGCTTGGCTGGCTGGCTGGTCAGTGGGTGGACACTCGAGCTCTGGTCTTGACGCGAAGAAGCCCGTCGGCTACAGCGGGCGCGTCCCAGACACAGACCACCAGCGATTGCGCGCTGCAAGCCGAATGGAACGGCCGAGTTGTCACTATTGCCGTGTTCTCTGCGCGGCGAATGTCGAAAGAGACCGGAGCGCACTGTCGTTCCCTAGGGAGTGGTAGCAGCGTCGCGCAGAACGCGGTGAGCGGCGGCGGCGGCGGCGGTAGCGATGGCGATGGTAGCGAGTGGTTGCGGTCAGTCAAATACCCGACAGTGTGCTAGGTTAGGGACGGGTGGGATGGGGAGTCGGGGACGTGTGGATGGATAGAGTGCCGTCGTCGGGCAGATCAACCCTGAAATGCGAAATGCAGACCAGGCGCGGTACGGCTACCGCCTTGGGGGTCTAGATAGGACTATCGACTATCGTAGGGCGTGATAATCCGTCAGGGTGGCGCTGCGGAGGACGTGTGTTTCCGCAGTAAGGTAATGAGGTAAGGTAGGTACCGGTAGCCTGTAGGTAGCGGTGGCAGGGTGATGATGAGCAGAGAAATTGTGGACGCTGGACGGAGAGCCGGAGATGGGCGGGTAACAGGCTAAAGAGGCAACGTGAAGAGGGTTGGAAGAGACGGGCGCAGGCGGGCGGGCGAGGTGGGCAGACCAGCTCTAGGCACGCCAGGGCTGTCGGTAGTGGTACAAATCAGACACGTCGTCGTCGCTCTCGTCGTCAACGGTCGTCGTCTGCCGCCCGAATGCCGAATGGGAAAGACACTGCTGGCGAACACCTACTTGCAGGGCCTACTACTCAGCCAAGTAGCGGCTGTGCAGTTTCTGACAAGGCTGAAATGATAAATGATATTTGCTCGATTTGATAGACAGACAGACCGATTGATTGATTGATTGCATGCGCACGCGGCACCACCTCAATTCTCTTGATGTTTCCCTGTTGCATGCGCCGATCGCATGATTTGACGTGCGGGTGGAAGCCGAGAAGCCCTCGACGAACTGACTGGATGGGCAGATGGGTACATGTAGGCTGCTGGGCTTGTGGCTGGCGCTGGTTGGTGATGGCTGGGGGGCCCCCCAGATGGCAGATGGCAGATGGCAGGCGGCAGAGAGCGGATCGGACAGGCTGACAGGTCACATGCATTTTCAACACTTCCAGATGACTAGGTAAGATAGTACCACAGCTGTTCACGTGGGGGCTGCAGTAAACCTACACTTCCTGACAGCTGGGCACCGACTGCCGACAATGCTCGCTGCTGATTCAGCATGATGCCTCGAGACGAGCCGGGGCTGTCAGGGCTGTCAGGTGGCAGCCCATGCCGTGCATGCTGCGGCAGCTGAGTTTTCACCGCCTATTATATGGGGTTAGATTCATCGGAACAAACAAATTGACAGGGTCCAGGCCCCACTACATATTTTTTCTGCAAGGCGTCGAAAAGTTCAAATACTGCTTGCACTCTTCTCTTCTCTCCTGCCACCTGCATCATTCTTCCTCCTCCTGTTCCTCACCACAGCCACCACATCTTCTCCATCGCTCTACTCAACGCTGCCGCACGCGCCGGGAATCTGGTCGCGACCATGATGTTTCTGTGATTGACACTGCTTTCCCTCGGCGCAGGCGGTCGTGTAAGTCTTGTCTGGTAAGTTCGGATCCCCTCTACCTGCACCAGGCATCCATCCATCTCCCCATCTTCCAGGATGACAACCCAAGCAACATGTCTTCTTTTCCCAACCGAATCGACCATGAAGAAACCTCGTCTGTTCGGGCCTGTTCACCTTCGGGTGGCGCCTGTTACTTGCCAGTATACTTTGTCTGATCGCGTGTCTGTCACCTAGACACGCGTGGGGAGATAGATGCCTTCCCGTGGTGCAGCCCGCATATACGTCCGTTGCAGTCTTTGCTAACAGCCTTTGGTCACCCCAGGTCCCCTCGTTTGCTGTGTGCTCCCTCCCCATACCCATCTCGGTTCACCTCGTAGTACCTACGCGCGTGAAATCCCGTAAAGGTCAGTTCGATTCTTTTTTCGAAACAACACCCACACTCGCACACTCCTTGATCTGGTGATGAAATTTCCACACATAACTTCGCAGTTTCCACTCGAGCTTCTTCAAGAGCCTTTTCGAAGCAGATGAGGGTATACTTACTTCCTTGGATGCCTGAAGATCTACATCATTCCCCCCGTTACATGTCATGGCTTGTTTGCTATGCATTTGACTAACTGGGCTGTCACAGATACCGTAGCAACATTTGATGTACCGAAATCCGCACAATCCGTCTCGGTCCAGGTGCTTCCATAGATAGATACTCCATTGTGTAGTAGACATGTCGGAATCAATCAATACAACTGTTTCCCAACATGATGGTCTCTGAAATCTTGAAATGCCGTGAGATGTGCTTCATCGCATGTTTTATTCACTATGGTCCATCCGGTAGTGCGGTACAGGCTGTTGCACCAAACCGAAGTACATGAGATATCAGTCATCGAGTAGTCATCGCGTGCCTTACCTAAGTCATTGAGTAATACCCAACAAATGCACCCCTCCAACTCCAAGCACCACCTCTGAATACGCGTGCAACTGGTACCACCAGTCCCTTTCCAAAACAAATATCATCAGCCCAAGGTTGGACCGTGCCGTGTGCCGTCTTGTACAGGTTCGCCGTCTTGTTGGCAGTTCACATCATCCAGCAACACTGACTCCCTCCCGTACCCCTTCCCGCAACACACTATGGCTCGAATTGTTGCTAATGTCGGGTCTCTTCACCCTACCGCCAACCATTCCTCGTCTGTTCCTGCCCGTCCGTCCCCTGCCGAGCCAGTTCAGCTTGAGCAGCCTGCCCAGCTCCAACACCATCCTACTCGGCTCGTCCGCCCCCGCGGGACCTGTCGCTGTACTACTGGGCCCGTCGGCGCCTGTGCCAACGCTGGCCAGCACGCTCATGCACTGCAGCATGCGACCAACCATCTCCGTCACCTGTTTGCTGTCCTCAACATTCTGCTCCCGCACGCTTCCCAATATCTCCCTCCCGCGGTCGCTCTCCCTCGTCTGGGGCGTGAAAGGTCGGAGGAGGCTGCCAGCCCCCGCCGACGCCGGCTCCGAGGCTCCGCTCCCGTACGAGACGTTACTGATTGCGCGGCTCCTCGAGGGGTTTGAGTCGTTGCCAAACACCGTCGTCGAGTTGGAGTTATAACTGCCGACGCTTGGGTCGAGCGACATGGCTGTCCCGGGCCGCGCCGAGTACCCGTCACTCGGCGACGTCGACAGGGAGGTGGCACTGTCGTTCAGGACCGGCGGCGATGCCAAGGCCAGCGAGCCTAGTGATGATGGTAGGTGCTCGAGCGATAATCGGGAGAATATGGCTTTGAGCTTCTCGTAGCGAGGCAGTACCATGGCGTCTCGGTAGGCCAGGAGTACCAGCCGCCGGACCTCGAGGACCTTGGAAGCCGGCGAAGGATGCGGCTCCAGACCTGATCCGTTGAAATGGGCATTTGGCCCCGGCGAATGGGCGACGGCGCCACCCCAAAAGTCGCGTGCTTGTTCCGGTGATAGTAAGGCGCCGGAGCCCGAGAACTCGAGATCCAACGGCAGGAAGACGGCCTGCATATAGGGGAGGATGTTGGTAAACGTGAAGAGCCATAATTCTACCAGCGCCGGGATCAGTCTGTCTTCGGGCGTCATGCGCAATGTGTGGTCCAGCGAGGAGAAGCCCGTCGCCAACAAGTCCCGAAGGTCGTCGACGATAATGTGACCGGCGCGGCGTTGTATGCAGTACTGGATGTGCATGGTCACGACACGGTTGAAGTCCTCGACCGGCAGTCGCAGATCCCCACCCTCGAAGATCACCAGCAGCTTCGCCTTTAGGTACGGCCACGCGTCGTCGAAAGACATGCTGTTCAAGCCATATTTGCCCGAATCCACTGGTTCGAACTGGTAGGACGTCGCGGTATTGTTGTTGGCCGTGGATCCAAGACTACCTGGCCCGGCCCACTCCGACCCAAGGGCAAAACTAGAATCGTTGTCATGGCGCATCACATCTCCCAGCTTCTCTTCCTTTCTCTTTTCACGAAGGGCACGCCCGCCATGGCGCAAGTCGAGACCACTCACGCTCTTGCCAAGGTTGTTGGTCGGGCCCGGGCTAGGTGGGATGTTGAAGTTGTATAGACTCGTAGGGGCATTGGGGTCGACTGGTCGGGAATTACTGGCGGCCGAGGACAAGGGGAGGTGGTAGTCATCTTTGCTGCTCAGTTTGTGCTTCTGCCGGGAGAGGAAGTGATGCCTCCGTTCCTTTTCCTTTTCTTTCCCCTCCCTCTCGAGCTGGGTATCAATAGGTCGTATAGTTGCAGTGGACGAGTTGGCGATGCTATAGAAAGACTGTGAATCTGCCAGACTTGTTGTGCTGAAGTTTCCACGCTGTAGTGAGGCGAGGGCGGACCCAATCTTCCCCGGGCTGGGCAACGGCCGCTGATTCGTCTCGCCCTTGGTGTCGATCTTCTTGGGCCGCGAGAAAAGCTTGACCTTTGACTTTTCCGACTTGGTCGGCTTTTCAGGGATAGTCAGGGGCGGCGGCATGGGCGGCATGGGCGGCTCCTGCGTCGGTAAGCTAGGTGACGACTGCGGTGAAGTGCGCGGAAATACGACATTCGCGGCAGCAGCGGCCGCATGATTGCCAAGCAGGCCGTTGTGATAGCTCTGGTTCCCGAAGCCGTGGTCGCGTGGTGCGCTTGCCTCGGTCAAGCTGAGCACTGGCGGACTGCGTGGTCCCATGACTGGTTTGGGGCCGGGCCTCTTCACGGGCTCGTAGCTCTCGCTCCCGGGAGCCGGGACGGTCTGCGAGCGATGGCGACTGTGCTGCTGATGCTGCATCGCAGCCTGGGCGGCTATGTGGCTCGCGGAAAGCACGGGGGATGGCTGGGCCATGGCAATGTGGGAGAGGTTCGACGAGCTCGTAGAGGGCAGGGTGGGTTCAAAGTGGCCCTGGGTCTGGGTCTGGGAGTGCTTCCGCACGTGTCCGACGCGGGTAGGGGGCAGGGTCAAGGGCGACGAGGTTCGGCCGGCCGGAGGATCATTGCTCGGTCTGCTGGGACGGGAGAAGTTCTGGAGACTGTTGGTGCTCGAGTTCGGATGGGCGGCGAAGTTGGGGAAGGATGGGCTCGTGACGCCGACGGGTGTGTGTGGCGGACACCCTCCTCTGCTCCTGGAGATGGATATGGTGTCGTCGCTCGACGAGGACTCTATCCGGCGGATCTGAGGGCGCGAAGGGGCCGGGCCTGGGGCCGGAGGCTGCGAGTGACCATGGCCATGACCATGACCATGACCATGAGGGTAACCGTGGGCCTGATGAGGCTGGTTCGGGTGGGCATTGGACGATCCGTTTCCTGTGTTGGTCAGAGGCGAGAAGCTGCCCGGGGCTCGCTGCTGGGGTCTTGGCTGCTGCATGGTGTCGTAGGACTGTGTCGAAACGTCGGGTTTCGCGGGGGGTCTGTTACATCTTGACCGTGCGATGTGGAGGCTGATTTGCGTCTAAACGTGTCGTCCTCTAAGGCGGGCGGGCGATTCGTTTGAGAGTGGCAGCGACACGGAGAGAAATGGTATAAGTTACTAGGGTCGGCTTCTATCTTGTAGTCGCGCGATGGCTTAGCTGCTTAGCTGCTTAGAGTGCTGGAGGATGGGGACGACGGGGACGACGAGAATGAGGAGCGAGGACGAGGATCGGTAGGTGAGGGCATGTGGTTGTCGATTGATTGGTGAATCGATAAGTAGACAAAGGTGGTGACCGCCCAATCAACGACCAGAAATAAGCCCCGCGTCTCGCTGCGGGCCCTGGACTGTGAGACGGGGGGCTAACTGTACTGGGTAAGACGTATTTTACGAATTCCCCTTGTATCCAAACCCCGTCTTTGACTGTTGGACGTGATCTAAGGTAGTTCGTTCGTTGTCAGGTCAGAACGGAGGAGGAGCTGTCGGCTTATACCCGTATGACATATGCCTCTCAAAAAAGGGGCGTTCCGGATGAGGATCCGTGCTTCAGCTGACCTTGAGTTAAGAAATCTCGTGTTGGGATGCCTTGTCGCCTGACCTCCTATTCATCCACAGTGTCCTGTCTGTAAGCAAGGTAGCGGATACTTGTTTAGACGTCCTGACATACCTAGAGCGTTGCTAACGATGTCAACATGTTCGGCTCTCCTGCTGATCGAGTCACACCGCAGGAGGACATGCATAGTGTTTGTGTTGAATTGATTTTCATTGGGAGGTTGGTTGGCTGTAGTAAAGAACGTATCAGGTCAGATATCCATCCAAGTCCATCCCACCAAAAAGGGCACTGCTGCAGTCTGTCGACATCCCAGCTGCCAGCCGACTTTCACTTCACACACCCAGCCTCATTGATGCCATGTGTCCACGCTCCGCCGCCTTATGAAACCGAGCCGGCCTCGAGCTGGCTTACTTGGTAGGCTTGGGCGGCGGGCCAATAGGCTTCGGAGCGTCATAGCCCTGGATACACATTCGAGGTTAGCCGAGTCTTCAGCCTTCGAGTTGCCAACTTGCCAATACCCCTAGCTCCACTACTCCCATGTCGTCCCCAAAGAAAAAGAGTTCATAGGGCAGGCGTGGCTTACCGAAGCACGACCGCTGTCTACGGGCTCCTCCGCGACGTCGCGAGCTTGGTCGCGGGCTTGGTCGCGGGCTTGGTCGTTTGGTGTTTGGCCCATTTTCGGTCTAGGTCAAAGGCAGACGAAGGCAGTTGGTTGGCGTTTCTTGTCAGGGTAGTCGGCATTTGTGGACGTTTGTTCTTGTTCGTGGGTTTGTAGATGTGTAGGTGTGTAGGAATATGGTGTTTGGTGTTTGGTTTAAGGGACCTGGAATCCTTTTCGAGGACCGATCAACCAGTATTTATAGAGAACGATACCAACTTGATGGTACACTCAATCTCACATTCACTACCTCTTGTTCAAGTTCGGTTATGTTCGCCTAGTCATCGCCGTGTCACAGTCTTGGAAGGCTCGGGAATGTGCTTGTGATGCACGCATTCCTCAGCACCTTGTCCCGTGATGTTTGTACTATTTAACTGTGCGCTGGATTCTTCTCGTTACGATGCGGCGCGAGTTCTAGCTCCATGGTCAGATATCTCTGACTGTTCAGCGAGGGGATGTCTACTGTCGGCTGATTCCTAGTCACCCAGTCTGAGTCTCACGTCAGATTTGAACAAGGCTAAAACGAGGAGGTTAGGTCTTCCATCAAGATGCAGGATCACAAAGTGGATTTCTGGCCCATGATCACAGAAGTCCTTCCGCCGTCAATCACGTATCGTACCTGGGTGACACAACACCAATGTCATGATGTGGATGAATCAATTTGATTATTCATGTATAAAGTTGCACTAGTCTTTTTCCACCTGGCAAGGTCATCCCGTAGAATTCACTACCCACCTGGGATTATGACTGGAGCTTTAATTGAGCTCTGAGATTGTTGATGATATTCTTGGACTTCGATCGTGCTGTAGTAGGAACCCCGTCTGCTGTTTGCTGGCAAGGTACCAGGGTATCCATCGGCGCTGGTCTGACTTTCAGTTGTTTCTGCAAAGCACTTCGAATCTGTTCCTCTGTGAGTTTGATCTCCACAGACTCAACTCTGCGGGGTCTTGGTTCTGCAGCCTCTACTCTTCGGGGCCTTGGTTCTGCAACCTCTGCGGCAAGAACATGTTCCTTGCTTACGGCGCAGCCCATGTTGATCCTTGTGGATATGGGACGGATATGATTTAGAGGTGATAACAATTTTTGCCAGCGCTATAAGTTCCCGAAAGTAGAACATATAAATGTAGTTAATAGTTAACGGTGGATGTTCGACGGTATAACATTATTGAACCGAGATCGGAAATGAGGGCATCTCTCACCTTATATGTAAATCTGCCGGATCATTTGTTTATACAATTGCAAGCAGTACTCCCAACGAAGGATCTATTTTTAGTTATTGAAACAACAAGGCATTGTATGGAGTGTGCATACGATAATCAACTTTGTCAAGTATCCAAAGAAGAGGATCCAACCTATGTACGACCTTGGATAATGGCCTTGTGGATGGGTGAACTTAACAAAGAGGTCATGTAGAGATTGGATTACGTGCGGACAAAGCCGGGAGGGTCTCTGAACCTGGGAACAAAGGAGCAGGTCGGATGGGTCCAGGCCTATAATGCATGAGGGTGGCCCGCAGGCAGTCGCAGCAAGACATCACGACGAAAATAAGGCTGCAGATCATCGTCGAGAGTGCAATTGACCCAGAAATGAATTAATACTGGGAAGATATGGTGATCACTGCTTATCACGGCAAGTGTCGCGGGCAAGCTCCAGACTTGCGTGAGAGACCCAAAGTTGCTTAAAAGTAAGAGGCCTCGACAAGGAAACCAACAGTCAACTAGTGGCGGGATCATCAGTCAGCTGTCCCCCCTGAAGGCAAGAGGCCGCATGCTTACCTTGGCGTGCTCGAAAACGTGAGGGAAGCTGACAGTAGAAACAGTGTCACTGGCTGAGTGGGTGTAAGGTGAGGCATCCCTGATGTTCTCATCGCAGACGTAAGCCGCTGCGTAGCCAGCGGACCTGGCAGATGCACTACAAGCCGCGGCGTGTCAGCACAGTCCTAACCGAATGCGTTCAAGTGCCGTGTTGCAAGTCATGGTGCTTACTGGTCTGAGCAACCGTAGCCGCACACGTCGGTCGACAGAGGCAGCGAGCTGTAGACCGGCACAAGCTTCTGAATGAAGGAAGTCAGGCTGGCGTCGACGTAGTCGGTGTAGACGGCGATGACGTTGTTTGGTGAGTATCCAGTCTCGTCCTAAATAAACTTAAGTGGTTTTTTATTAATAAGAAGTATTAAGAATTTAATAAATACCTGATTCATGACGGCGAGCACGTCAACACCGTTCTTGGCGTACGAGTTGAAGACATCGCGAGAGCCGAGGAGACCCCCTTCTTCCCCTGTGGGTACCACGGCGTCAGTAAGCGGTATGATGCAAGGAATACGTGGGCTTGCGACTCAACAGCCTCTCGGAAGCGTACCTGAGTAGAAGTGGAACTCGAGCGTGTTGGCAGGCTCGAAGCCGTCCTCAGCCAGGACGCGCAGGGCCTCTAGAATGGCAACCACGCCCTATGTATGCATCAACTTCCGGCCCCCGAAAGAACAAGGCGATGTAAATATGTATGTCAGGGTTGACTTACCGATGCATTGTCATCAGCGCCCGGGGCGCGGCCGGAGGTTGTGGAGCCGATAGAGTCGTAGTGGGCCGACACAACGACGACTTGGTCAGATGCGCCCGGAATGGTCGCGATGACACTCGGCTGGTTGTATGAGTGCGTGAACTTCTCGACAGTGATCGCTGAGTTGGCAGAGGCCACGTCAACAACGGTGTCGTACATCCACGCGGCGCTGGTCGCAGCATAGGAACCTTTGTAGTAGCGGTTATAGAAGTCGGCCATCGAGTTGGTCCAGGTCTCCAGGTTGCTCTGCACGAGGTTCTTGATGAGAGCATTGGCCTCGGTCTGGTGACTAGGCTTCGACGGGAAAGCGAAAGCAGCTTGAGCCTCCCGGTTCGCCAGTCTCTGTGCGCCCATTGCCTCGAGTTCCTGTCGCATGGCAAGTCAGCGTGCGGGTCACACGGCGCCCCTCAGCATGTACTCACCATGGTCTCGGTGATGTCCATGAAACCGATGTACTTGGAAGTGAGCTTCTCAAACTTCTCCTCATCGGTCATCCAGGTGCCTGGGTCCTCCTCTGAGATCTTGACCAGGCGGAGTCCCTCAGCCCGTCTGATGGACACGGCCTCTGGGCCAACCGAGACAGCGGCGACGGCCAGAGAAGCCTGCAGCATCAGAGCCCCGAGGACTCCAACCTTCGATGTGCCAACCATGGTGCCTCAACTGTGGCAATGCAAGGTTCAGAGGTTGTGTTATCGAGATAGAAAAATCACTGATGGAGATGCTTCGCTGGCAGATGAGGGATGGCAGACCACTACCTACTCATAGCAACACCGTGGGCGTCGGAGTGCAGTGAGACGATGCCTATTATATGCATCTCATTATGCTTGCCTGCTTGCTACATACCTGAGTACTCTAGCTTGGGTTTCCATAGACCCATACCTTAGGCAAGGCGCGGTTCGATTCTCGCCTTCTCCTTTGGGCAACAGACAAGAGAAGAGCGCGGCATTGGCAGCTGGACTGCCTGCCAGGAAGGGACTAGTGGCCCCGGGGCAGCACGACCTCACTGTGACCCTTTCGAGGACGGGGCTCGGGCGATGCGACTCTGGAACGGACGACATGGACCTTATATAGGCCGCCAAGTATGCCTATCTACGCGTTGGCTGGCCAAGCCCGCGATCTCTGCTCCCCAACAGTATTTGGGAGGGCCATCACCGCCTTGGCGGGTTTGCACCGTCGGATTATAAGACCATGGAGGGCGAACAGGCTGGCAATGCAACCGCAGCCAGCCCAAGATCGATGTGGCCTGAGTCCGGTTGGAGACCCAGTCCCAAGGCCTCACGACACACGGTGAGCCTAGGCGGTCAGAGGGATAAGTGGGAAGAGGCAAGAGGTCTTGCCATAAGCGTATCATGCGACTTGAAATGGTCTTGGCCATGGACAGTGTGACGGTGCTATCTTGACAACCTCACGGAGGCGCCTGTAGTGATGTGAATGACACGACGGCTTGCCATGGCTGTCGCCGTACAAGCGACTTTGAGCGGGTGCCATACGACCCGACTAGGAAAGCTAGAAGACTTCTGAAAGGTTAGATATTCAATCTCGATTGGCCTGGGGTTGCGTAGTTGGCAACAAGTGTCAATCCACCGCTCGGAAGCTCATCAGGTGTACAGGTGGTAAGGCTATGGCCTGACAACCGACCACGGCAGCAGGGCCCTAGCTTAGACACGTAGTTGACTGATAAATTAATCGGGCTTGTCGGATCATCCACCGGAGTGACGTGACGGCTGGTTGATGTTGTATGCCACAAGCTTATCAGCTCGCTCCGGTCTGCGCTGCGCGCAGCCCAGAGAGTGGGGGCTAACGAATCTTATTGGAACATAACCACCTGGGCAGTACTTAAAAACAGGTAGCATTACCACTCAAAGGTAGGTATCATTCAATGAACGCTGCTCCACGCATACGGGTAGGGCCCGACCACCTGATTACGCCACCACCTGAATGATACCCGTTGGTCCATGCGCATCCTTTAAGGGACCACTAAGCAGAGCTTAGTTGGCGCATTCAACTGTAACTTGCTGTTGGGTTAAGGTATGCCGAGAAGGCACCTTGACAGGTAGACAACGGAACCTAGTTGTTCCGTCCCGATCCAGCCCCCTCTGGCACAAAACTGCCACGGTCGCACAAGGACACTCTAGACAGACAGAATACACACACACACACACACTTCACTCTGACGATTGGCTCGAGTCTGACACTTGCCTACCACTGTAACCACACTTATTAAGAATCAGCAGTAAATCTGCTACCAAGTGAAATTAGCCCCATTTTTTTAGTTTTTACATTATAATTTTCGCTCTTTTTAAATAGTATAATATAATTACGTAAGGTTTTTTAAATCAATAATGTTATTTTATTTTATTATAAATAAAAATAAAATAATACTATAACAGCGGGTTTATAGTTTTAAAAAATAAAAGAACAACTTTTAATTATATAAAATAATGATAATGAAAACAATAAATGTTTTATGGCTAAAACGGACCCGGATTCAAATTTAAAACGAATTATTTAATATAAAATCATTTTGAAAGTCATTTCAATATAAGGATTTCCTATAGAAATCTAGTATTTAATAGATATTACAATTAAAAAAAAGTTACGAGTTTAATTTTTATAATATAATATTCCTCAGTTTTTTTTAACAAAAAACATCTTACGTGATTTATTTCCTTTTATATATACGTTATATATATATAATTCTTCATATTTATTATTTATAAAAATTGTTTTAATTAATATACTTATATAATTATAATATATAAATAAACAAATATAAATAAGCTTTTTTCGTTATTATTTATATGTGTCATTAAAGCCGTTAAATGTTTATATATATTATTAAAGCTTGTATAATAATACATTAGAATCCTTTATTGATTGCTTTATTTAGTATAAAATATTTTAAGATGTAAATAGACGTATAAAATAACCCTAAATGCATTTATAGTTTATAATAATTGCTATTAGCGGCGCGGAAAAAGTATAAGATAATAGATGGTTAAAAAGATTACCAAGGTCGCGTTACATTAAAAGCTTGCAAATTTCAAAGCAGCCGTAAGACTTATTAAGACCACGCAAAAAAAGTCCTGAACTTTAAGCTAGCTATAAATATAACTCTTTAAATTACAGTTAAAAAAGTTAACCTTCATAAATAAATAATTGTAATAAAAAATTCCGTTTAATTCATACAAAACGGCCGTTCTTTCTTTTTATTTCTTTTATAATTTTCATTTAACTATATTATAATTATATTTCCTATTACTATATTTTATAAAATCATTAAGTAATAACCTGGGTTAAAAGCCGAACGGAAATTTATTAGCTTATATTTATTCGAACGACGTATTATTAATACGCCTTGGTATTTAATATACCGACCGAATTGTTTTTTTATCAATTTTATCGAAAATAACAAATAAAGAATTTTTTAATAAAAAGGATTAGATTATATATTTTAAAAAGACAAATTATATTCGTCGTGTTAAAAACTAAAAGTCAATATATAGATTATACGATATAAAGATATGTAAAAATTTAAGCCGATAAGTTATATAATGATATTAACGGGGTTTTATGATATATATTTATAAATATAAAAGACGGAACGATAATTTCATGTTAAAATCGAAAGAAAAATCGGTGTTAGTACAAGGCGGTGTATCGAATAGATCGGGCGATTGTTATCAACGTCGGCGTTAGCGCCGGCGCTTTAAACGAGGAGATGTTTAACCTTAAATTAGTTTAATTAATAATTAACGAACAACCGTTATAAACATCGTTATACACATATCAAAATATAAGATAAACATATAATAAGATGATTTTAAGCTATATTTAAAGCATATAATTCTGATATTAAAATAAATAATAAAATGTTTATTGATTTTAATTTTAAAGCAATACTTAAAGCAATTTTTAATAATATTTATTCTTATATGTAAACCTTATATAATTATCTAAATGTTCATATTTTAATACTTTTTTAATTATATATATTAGATAATTATAAAACATATCGATATTATCTAATTATCTTATATAGAAAAATCATGATTAAAAAAACTGTTTTATAATGATATCTTTTATTCTTTTAACGTTAAAATCAAAGAAGTTATTAAATAAATACGTTTTTAATTATGTTAGTAAGTAAGTTACAGTTAAATACGCTAACTAAGCTTTGCTTAATATTTTTTAATAAGGGCACCGCGTTAAAACTAACGGATACTTTAAAATAAAAGGCATTGTTATTTAAAAACAGGTATTATTTATTAAACGCTGTATTATAACGAGTTGAACGACGCCGCTTCTCTTTAAAAAGCGGCTTTATCAACCTTTAAAAAAGGTTTAACTACATTTAATATACATTTATCTTAAAGTATATCCGTTTAACTAGTTAAACAACGCTTGAAAAAGATTACGTAATAATAGCCTTTTCACCATAAGAGGTAATTACTTAATAACTGCTATAATAAGTACAACACGCATATAAGCTTTATTTATACACTTTAAATTATTATTTTTAACCGCGATATAATTTTTTTTTAAAGATTTAAACGATTCAATACATAACTTTTTATATAACGTTTTTATATATATTTCGATCAAGTATACCTAGTAATTACTTAACTATAGAAGCAAACGTTTAAAAATCTAGGGTAAAACCAATCCATCTGATTAGTCAGTCCCAATTGTGGCAGTACATTTATATTAGAGAAGACTACGATATGCCACTTGAGGTCCGCCTCTATGGCTGGAGTTGAAGCCGTGTCTGGAAATCATCGAGTCAGAGTCAACCAGATACCTATCCGTAGACACCAGACTGCTCTGCGTCCAAGTTTCCAACACAGCTGGGCGCCTCGTTTGAAATATTCGACCACACTGGACGTGACGAACGACTGTTCTGACACTCGTTGGCAGCTGGAGCTGGTTCATGTTGGATCATCAGACATTTGATGGAATGAGGGCAAGCCACAGCACGAGGTCCCGTCCCGTCGAGGCCCACACAGCCACACTTCCGCACAGCCACTACTGCCCCTCGACTCTCGTTCTCGTCTACATTGACGGCGCAAACCCGCCAAACCCGAGCCTTCCACATGTGACATTACCCATCACCTAACTTAAAGCCTCTACAGAACCACGAGCCTGCTCGCCCGCCAGTACCGCTGTGCCCACAACCACCATGTCTCCCTCGACATCAGCCCCCCAACCCGCCCACCTCAAAGCGACTTACACCTCGCCGACAAATGCCCCTCTCGAGGTCTCGACCCCACTCGCGACCTTCCCCACGGACCCGGCCTCGGTCGACCAGAAGACGGCATACCTAGGTGCGCTGCGGAAGGCAACCACGGCGCTGCAGGAGTGTATCAACATCGAGTTGACGGCGCGCATGGAGGAGGACAATGCGCGGGACGCGGACAGTACCGCGACTGGAAAGACGGGAAAGACAACCGACGTCGACGACGTGGCCGAGGAGGATAATTATGGCGAGGAAGTACAGGGGGGAGACGACTGATTGGAGGCCGAGGCAGACACGACCAAGAGAGACAAACACAGGCCCTTCCTCCGGTTCATCCGAAATCGACGGCGAACAAGCTATAATAAGATAGTGTCAGCGGCAGGCTTGGCTGTGTACCGACACGCATGAGCCAACATTCGAACAGACATCTCACATCAAGACGACTTCAGTTTGGGAGTTCGCTTCTGTCCCCATCGACGGAAGAACTGGCTGCCTTTATATGTCTGGATATAAAAGCACTCTACATACGGGTATCGCTGTGCCCTCAACTCCGTCAGCATGCACTTCCATGTCACGGTACACGTATACCCGGCCTCGAGACGAACTGGAATGTCTTACACGATATGTACCTTCATCCAGCCCCGCGGCGTGTATCAGACCACCAAACCCGCTGGCCTGAATCAGCCTCAGCCGTGTCTCCCCCAGGACCCGGCAATCCGCTCGCCTTGGTTACCGCTCGTCCTGCGGCCCTGTCTCCCGAGGCATCCGTAATGAACAACGCTGTTGTCTGGCAATATCGCCGTCACGCTGTTACCCAGCCTCTTATGGCAAACCCCGCAAACTCTCTCTTCGCTGATGACCACTCTCCTGTTCCGCCCACCTTGGGCCCCCGGTACGCCGTCCCCGAGGAGCAACAGAGCCTGCGTGTTCACGAGCTGTGTCTTGCGCAACGCTTCGGCGATGCGTGTCTCCGATACTACACTGTTGGCCGCACGCATGCGCCCGCGGAAGTACGACTCCAGCTTGGCCACGGGTAGGTCGTCGGGGATGAGCGACATGGTCGAGCCTGCGGGGAGACGGGAGCCGTGCCGGGAGAGAAGCGACAAAGCCGGTTCCAAGTTGGGTTTGTGTGGCGCTGGAGGCGTCAAATATAGCGAGAGCAAAGTGTGGTAGATCGAAGGCGTGAACTCGGCATCGTCCTGGTCGTTTGAAGGTGCGGCCAAGGACTGGCGGCGGGACTCTGGCAAGGAATAGATATGGTTGCAGTACCTGACATCATGTTCATCAGCCACGCCCACGACGGTTGGGGGTGTTAGTGGGGTCACGTACTCTTCTGCCTTGACATAATCCACCATCTTGAAGACGTAGAGATCGAGAGCCTGCTTATGATTCCCCATCCTGCTGAGAACGACCGCCTGGGCTTCGTAGAAGGCCGGATCTGACCACCATGTTAGACATCTATATGCTACGGTTGCGGCTAGGGAGATCTCACCGTCTCGGGGGATCATGCTAAACGCACGACCGTGGCTGTATTGCCGGCTTTCCTTCAAGAAGCCCACGAACCTGCCCATTCTTTCCCCCCACTCCACATCGTGTTGGCCTTCACCCAGTACCTTGATGAACAGTTCTACAAGCCGATCGTGGAAATCGAGGGTGGCATCTCCCAGCTCGCTGACGATGTGCTCCAGGTAACGTATCTCAAGATTGACGTCGATAGCGCCGAGGTACTTGACCACGCGCTCGCGCGGCAGTGTCTCGGCATTCGCGCTGTCGGCCAAGAACACTTCCATACCCAGCTGCGGATCTCGCCGCAGAACCCACTCGGCAAACTCGAGGACAAGATCGACGATCTCTGGGGGCAGGCTTTGTAGGTAGCCGACAGTCCTCTGTGGACCCCGGAGCTGCTCCGGGATTTGCACCTCGGTCTTGCTCTCCCCATTGAGTTCGAGTTTGGTCGTCTCGCTGTTGGTATCGGTGTCCCCAAACTTCCGGAGCAGAGTGAGGGCCTCGCGGTGGAGCTTCTTGCCGTAGAAGAAGTCAACCAGCTCGTTGTATCGGTTATGCTCAAGCAGCTTTTCGTTGACGACAACGGGATCGCAGAAGTTGGCTAGGCGGAACAGAAAGGGGGCCAGAGACGGCTGACTAAACATGTAGCCACGGAACAGGGTCGTGTCAACGAGCGTGCACGTCTCGCGCAGCTCTTGTTCGAGCCGTTCGTCGGATTCTGAGTGTTGGTTTGTCAACAGGGCATTCACCTCTTCGTTTGAGGCTTCAGTCTGGCTCGACTCGGAGCTAGATTTGCGCGGCCGCAGCTTTCCGGTCGCCGGATCAATCAACTTTTGGAGATGAGTCCTCGTGCCAACCAGGTAGCTGTTGAGTGCTTGGACAGCATGCACCAGATCTTTGCCCTCTAGCGTTCCACCGTCGTTTGTCTTCCGCTTCGTCTTGACCTTGATGCTGGCTGCGTCGTCGTTGTCAACGACATCTCTTTTGGTAGACGCGATAGATGCAGCCTCGGCATCTAGTTTGCGGTTTCCCATCCAGTATTTCGCAAAGCCGGTTGCTTTGGCCGGCGACGCAGCATCGACAGCGCTCTCAGCTGTCGTGGGCTTGTCCCCGTGATTACCGCCCTCGTCCTCGGACTCCCTGTCTTCTGGTGCGTCCTCCCGCTCGACCTCTGCTGACAGATCCCCAGCAATTATTCTTGGATACAACCGCAGCACTCTTTCCGGCGGAGCATGGACCTCGTCTTCGTTGAATAGGTCGAGACTGTCTTGGAATTTCTTCTGCTTGAATAGTACCTCGGCCTTCAGCATCTTGACTTCACGCATCGTGCCGGTCTTATCCTTCAAAAGCGCGTCTTCTAGCATACTTAGTACACTGATGGCCTCGTCGTATTTGGCCTTGTCCACCAGTTCTTGCACCTGGGTGTCGTAGTCAGTGGCACCCATCTTCCACACGGCCCGGTCGCTGCTGATGTGGAATCCCTTGCCTGCGTGCGCCAGGCTCACGGTTGGTGGTGGGAAGTGCAGTTGCGCTGCCCCAGCGAGCTCGATTGTCTGAAGCAGGCTTAATGTCTCGGGATTCCGCACTTCCAGCGACCCTTTGGCTGGCGGCTGCAGGGCCAGAATGTACGGGTAGCTGTACCCGATACTCTCGGGGGCGCTCTGCCAGGGGATCTGGCGCTTCTCCAATGGAGTGCCATCTGTGTCAATGAACAGTGAGTTGATGTCCTTGGCAAGCAGCACCTCGCCCTCCGCCAGTCGTGCGGCCAGTGGCTTCGGTATGTATCCGCCCAGGCCCATGTAGCCCATACTGGCAGCGCCAAACCTGCTTCCTTGCCCCCCTGCCGTCGCGGCACCGACGCCGGCGATTTCATGTGTCTGTGAAGTGGTGACGTCGACCAGCACATACCCGGCGTTCATGCCACAGACTACCTTGGTCGCATTGGCCCATGTCACAGTTCTGATGGCCTCGGGCAAGACGATCTCGGTCACCTCGTCGTGCACTTCACCAGCGTGCCAGCTCCATAGCAGCAAGCGCCGCTTCACGGCGACGGCGAGGCGGCTGATGATCTCGGGTATCCCCGTGGTAGCATCCTTGACGATGTTGCTTGTAACGGCAAAGCTCGACGCGTTCTTGGTACGCGGTATGGTCTCGATCAGCTCGTAGGTTTGGAGGTCGTGGAGGGAGACGTAGTAGTTGGAGAGTGAAACAAGGGTATTCGCCTCCTTGATGATTGCGAGCTGATCAATGGCCCGGGTAGAGAACTTCTCGACTTCGCGTAGGAGGTCGCTAGGCTTGGCCGCGGGACCAGACTTGGACCCAGGCCGCGAATGGCTGGGAGGACTGCTGGGAAGAGACGACGTGCCGTTTCCGGACTTGGACGGAGGGGGCAGCTCGTTCAGGCGGTAGATGCGTAGAGAGCCCGTGTTGAGGCCGACAAGCACGCGGTCGCCTGTTCACAGGGGGGGGGGGAAGCGTCGCGTTAGCTGCGATACGTGGGGTTCAGTGTGGCAGCGAAGCTTACCATAGGCAAGAATGGTCTCGATCTTGGTCTTGTCGCGCTGCCTGAGCTCGATGATGGGGCGAGCTGTGAATGCGGAGAGCATGGCGCTTCTGCCAGCCAGCTGCCCACTAGCTTGCGAGGGAAGTCATTGACTGGGCGTTGTTCCGAGCGGATTGTAAATGTACCGTGAGGTTCTAGACGGTGGCTTTGAAAAACAGCACTCACTGCCCAGGTCAACGGTGATGGTGGTGGTGGTGGTGGTGTTGAATGGTACGGTACAGTCTACAGTCTACAGTACAGTCTACAGTCTACAGTCTACAGTACAGTCTACAGTCTACAGTACAGGAAGCAGCTGGCTGTTGATTATGCACTAAACCGGGGCTATCGGCAATGACCTCACCGCATGCATGTAGCCGTGTGCCTCCTACCCCCCTATTCCACTACTCCTGTCCCCTATTCCCTTTCGACATGTGACCTTTATTCGCACAGTCGATGTCTTGATAGACTTGCATACGAGCTCACGGCCACTTGTAAAGGTACAAGCAAGAGAAAAGGAAGAAAGGTAATGATAGAAGCAGCCGCGCGCCACTATGTCTTCATATGGACGAATTCTATTACATGTCTGTCTGACCTACTTAAGCAAGCAACCTTTACCATGGTATAAACTCGATGGCCGACACACTTGTACGCTTCGATGTAAACGACAATGAACGCCACTCATGTTGTATATGTACGAACCAAAGAAGGGACTGGACATCGGTAACAAATAAACTTGAGCAAATCTGCCAACAGCGTATATAAAAGCATGAAATCATGGTATATGTCTATGGCGATCGGCTGACCTGCCGTGTTCGAATGTTTGCTGATGTCTCCAGCGTATTTGTACAAAAAAGCAGCGGAGCGTCCAAACACCATTACGGTTAAAAACCTGGATGAGAACATTTCGAGCGCTGTGTCGCGGGGTTATCTACATCCCAATGATACGCATCGCGCCGTAGCCAAGTGTGACCACGACTACGAGGGTGAGCAAGCTGCTTGGTACACCTCGGCTGATGAAATGCTTGACGTGTAGATATCGCTGACCAGTGGCATCTTCTTTCATGATAGCCGCTGCTCACAGTTAGTCTCCCATCTCGTCTCACGAACGAAGCACAAGGAGAGGGAAGACTTACTCATATTAGGGAAACCACTGGTTGGCAGAGCCATCGCTGCACTGCACATCAGGGTGGCCGCCATGACGAGCAGGTTGGGGTGCGGCTGCTCCATGGCGTCTCCAATATCGTACACGAGCGGCAGGATAATCAGTGCAGCTACCGTGTGACTGATGAACGTCGCGATGACCAGAGTCAGACTCGAGAATATGAGCAGGACAACGTAGAGATCCATCCCGTTGACCTCACCAGAGATGCGTTCGGCCACTGTGTGGAGCAGGCCAGAGGATTTGACCGCCTTGCCGAGGGCCAGACCACCGGCAGCAAGGATAATGATAGTCCATGGGAAGTTGTTGAAGTCCTCCTTGGTCAGTATGCCAATCCCGAAGAAGATGACGATCGGAAGGATGGCTATAACACCCATGTCGCCAAATGTTGACTCCAGGGCGTGGCTCGCACACCACAGCGCAATCGTGGTGACACAGACAGCGGAGACGAACCACTGCAGAGCAGTGAAGTGCTCCCTGACAGGCCTGATAGGGACGATATTGGTCCCCTTGCCAGGTTGGAAAGTGACCAGTAATAACAACCATATCAGACATATCGACACTATGCCGACAGGGATCACGACGAAAAACCACTCGCCCCAAGTCGGCGCAGGCTGCATGATTCCGAGGGCGACCACGTTCTGAGGTGAAGCGATGGGCGAAAGCATGCCACCAATGTTGGAAGCCAAGGCAATGCCCATGATGACGGCCTTGGACATGTTGGAGTCGGATGGCAAATTGCGCAACATGGGCTGTCGGGCATGGTCAGCACATTTCAATGGTGGCCGGAGCCGAACCACGATGTTCAACATACCTCGATGATGCCGAAGCAGAGAACGGGAGCCGCCACATTACTGACGAGCATACTGGCAAACGCAGCCACGAACATATTGGCGATGAGTACCGTCCTGGGTCGTGTTCCGGCCTTACTAAGGACGAAGGTGGCAATCCGCTTGTCGATCTTGCATTTGGACAAGGCAGCAGCGATGGTGAAGCCGCCCAGAAGAAGCATGATGACGGGTGTCCACATAGCTGCGAACACATACGCTGTGGCTTCCTTGGATTTCAGCCTCGCGTACGGCGCCTCATCTGACCGGACGACGTTGAGCACGACGCAGAGGAAGGGTATCAGTAACGAGGTCACGAATAGCGGGATTGCCTACAAGTTGTGAGCTACAAGCAACATGCAGAGAAGGAGAGGGAGAGACACGATGATCCTATCCTCCGGGTCATCTTACCTCGGTGGCCCATAACAGACTGACAAATATCAGCAAAGCCAAGCAGTTCTGCTGCTCTGGCCTTTCCATTATAGGGATGAAAAGAAGGAGCAAGAAGATGGCGATGATGCCCAAGAGCGTGAACATGGTCGACCCAAAGAGCCAGGTTGGAACGGTGAAGCGCCCAATCGGAGTGTTGATCTTCTTGGTGGGTGCTTGGGGCGCATCGTCGCCTTGTAATCTGACCTTCATGCCGTCGTTCTGGGCGCCGAGAAGACCCTGCCCCAGAGATGCAGCTTCCGCGCGACGCTCGAGACCGATGAGGTCTCGCCACACAGTATTTCTCTCCCAGACAACGTGCTCCCGCAGGTGTGACCGGAGATCCTTTCGGGCGAGCGACTCGTCCCCGTGGGTGACCACGTGGGCATACGCTCTTTCCATCTTCTCGATATTCTCCTCGATATGGCTAATAGTGTCGCGGAGAAAGGGGTAGGCAGATTCGACGGTGCTGTCCATGTACTTGGGTCGAAGGTCGCGGTCGTTGATCTTGTCGAACTTCTTGAGCACCTTGCGGAAGCCGGTCTTATTCAGCTGCACGTAAGACTTGAGTTCGCACAGTTGCACGTAGAGGCCGACGATGCGCTTCTTCAACATGATGCCGGACGTGAACATCTGGGCCGTCTCGGCATAGTCGTCGAACCCCGTGCTGTGTCTGCGGGCTGATCTCGTGTAGTCGGTGGAGGCTGTCAAATCGGTGGAATTGTGCATGAAGTTGGCTACAGTGCGCCGTCGGGCCATGCCGCCATTGATGCTCGACCTCCTCTTCTTGTTGAGAGCAGATGTCTCGTCTTCATCGTCGTCGTCGTCGTCGTCGCTGTCCTCAATCCCATCCTCTGTCGAGTGGAGGCTGTGGCCGCTCTGGGCACTCTGGCTGCTTCGTGGCCCGCGCGCACGCTTCACCTGTTCCGTGGTGGGCTGTTGGATGACTGGTCGCATGGGGCCATCGTGCTCGTTCGGGCCGTTCTCGTCGAACGAGCCTACATCGCGTAGCAGGTCGTCGACCTCGTCAAACAGCTCCTTCTCCTTTACCCCGTAGAACGAGGAGACCTTTTCCAATTCGACATCCAGGGCTCGGCTGAAGACAGTGTCCGGGTCCTCATTCCTCAGGAGCGGTCTCGTCTCGACGTCGGCGGTTCCGGGCTGATGGACGGTCTTTTCGAGTTGGTAGATGAGTTTCTTGAGGTTGCTGTAAGCAATGTAGTGGCTGCTCCAGTCCGGGACGGCATTGAACTGGATGCTGTGGGAGAACTTCATGTCGTCGCGCTCGTCGAGCCAGCGTCTCTTTTCTTCCCTCTTGGCGCTCCTCCGCGCTTCCCTCTCCCTCTCCCTCTCCCTCTCCCTCTCCCTCTCCCTCGCAGGTGTCGGCTTGTAGCTATCGAGTTCGTAGGCCTCGCCGGCGGGAGTGGCGGGAGTAGCGGGAGTAGCGTGGCTGTTCCCCCCTCTGTCCCTTGGCTCGGTCAGGATAGGCTGATGGGCAAGAAGGGTGTGGCGGAAAGAGGAGGGATTCGCGGGAGACTTTAACGGCGGTATGGTGGACGACTTTGCGCGCGACCAGCAGTTGAAGGAGACGGGAGCGGCGGTTTTCGAAGGTCAGTGCCGTGGTCACCGTGACAGGCGTGAGTGTTAGCAATCCTGAACTAAGAATTGAAACGAATGGCTTTTCTTAGTCGTGGGTTTCGTCAGTTGCCCTGGTTGCGTGAGGCCGGATGTAAATACTAAATATAAGTATTAAATACTAAATACTAAACCCGAACCACGGTGGAGCACGTGGAGCTGTTCAGTGGATTCAGTGGATTCGGTGGACAGGTGCATGTGTCAGCGATCGTGTGGCTGGTGACCGGGTGACCGACACCCGTGGACTGGACCTACCTAGGTAATAAAAGGGGGGAACAGGAATGATAAGGGGCTCGCAACATCTCACTTGCTACCTCCCGTCTCCTTACCTTAAAATTAGTACCCCGAAAAAGCACCACTGCAATTGATTAAAGGCTCTGTCGCAGGTACCGTCAAACAGCTCCAGTCGTCTGACACCACCTGACCACTTGAGACATAGTCATAAGTCACGTAACTGCCGGTACTACTATACTAGAGCATCTGTGGCTTCCTCCTGGCTATGAGGGTAGTCAGAGCTCACATACCCGACATTATGGGCCGCGCACCCTGAGGCTGTCAGCCCTGTGCAACGAATCGGAGGTAGGCTACCAGGCTACCTGCAAGTTGCCGACATTGGAACTTACAAGCCATCAAACGTTAACTTTCCCTCCCCCGCAACCTTCACCTCCTTCCTCCCCACAAACTCCAAGTCTTTCTACAAAATCGGTCACCATGTCTCGGCGATGGCTTCCTGCAGACACGCGCCAGTCGCGTTGGAACGCCCAGCAGAGTCGCACGCGCAGAGAGGCCGTCGAGGCCGCTGAGCTGAGAATCGCCATCGCCCGTCCGCTGTCGATGCGCCTCGACGCCACGAGGGTCATCTCGGACGACGCTGTCACCGGCCTGGGCAAGCTCGCCCTCCTGCCCAACGAGGTCATCATGCTCGTCTTCGCCAACAGCACCCTGCATTCGCTGCTGCGTCTTCTACGCGTCAACAGAGCCGCGCGCCAGTTCGTGAGACTGCTTCCCTCCTTCGCCGACGTCACGTCGTCGGTCAAGTTGCAGATGTCGCGCGCGAAACCCCCCTACCGCCGCCTGCTCGCCACTGTCTTGAAGAACACCACTTACAACGCACTCCGCTTCCTCATCACCACCCACGACTGTGAGCGTTGCCGCCGCCCACTGGGAAGCTTCCGCCTCACCAGGGTCAAGGTGCTCTGCGAAGACTGCTATGCACCCAAGAAGTAGCCGAGACGAACAGCCGAGGAGCTTCTTGCCAGTAGCAGCATAGTTACAGAACCGGATGGGGACGATGAACTTAAGATTCACAAGACCAGTAGGTTCGCTGCGTCGAGAAGCACTTCAACAGGACGAGCGCTTACCTACTGTACCCAGGTCTCACAGTGTATGCTCCATGCAATATTCTGGTTTTCAAGCACTGACACTCACTCACTCGCACACTCGCCTGTCTATGGATTGACCCCGACGGATGAACAGTGGTGGTGCTAGAGAGATATCACATTGAGGACGTTCAGTAGCCGGGGAGTCATACGCTTGCTGCTGACATCAGTAACAACGAATGGACAACAGTCTGACACGTACCACATGCCCAAACCTGCCGTTCTTTTGTGAAGTGAATCGGCCTGTGCTATTGATGCAACGTTCTCACTGATGAGTCTCTACCTACGGTGTACCCAGGTAACTTACATGTCAAGGGGCACATGCGTGCATTGACGCCATCGTCATGTGTTTCTTCTCCCCATCCAATGTCAATCCTCAGTTACTGGCCTCACCCCTATGGTTCTGACGACGGCTGCTCGTTATCGGTGCCCTTGAAGTGCTCTCCGACGCCCGTGGACTGGCCCGCGTCTCGCCTTGGAAGAGAGTTAGTCTGTGACGGTTCATTTCCATTGTGTTGGTGTTTGGAAACCTCACTATTCACAGGTACGTATAGACAGATACCTATGCATACATCCACCCTGACTCCTCATCACGCTCTTTGCGATGGAAGATATTCACTCCAAAGACCCGCTAAGCCGGGAGCCCAAGATCGAGAAGCTCATCTTGTCGTTCATCACGGAGGAGGGGCTACGACCGGAACCATTGCGCCCATCACACACCAGAACAGCTCGATGCCAACACGCATCGCCTTCGTGTAGATGGATTCGTCAGGAACAGGCTAGAGCTCTCCATCGCACAGCTCCAGAGCGAGTTTGAGCAGCATGAGGTCGTCTGCGCCCTGCAGTGCGCTGGCAACAGAAGGCGTGACTTGCGCACTGCCGTCAAGGAGGTCCAGGGGATCGACTGGTTCGATGGCGCTGTCATGGACTGCCGATGGCGTGGTCCGCTGCTGAAAGACGTTCTGGCGAAGGCCGGCATCGACCTGGACGGCGCCGAAGCAGATGGACAAGCGAAGCAAGCTGCCGAAGCACACGTCGCCTTTGCGTCGTTCCAGGTCCAGTGCCAGGAGGACACGTGGTATGGCGCATCTATTCCGCTGGGCTGCGCCGTGGACAGGGAGAAAGAAGTCATCCTAGCGCTGGGAAGAAACGGAAAACCACTGAGCACCCGCCACGGCTACCCAGTCAGCGTAGTCACCCCTGGCATTGCGGGCGCGCGGGCAGTGAAATGACTCGACAAGATCACCGTACAGAAATCAGAATGCAGCAACTACTACATGCAGCACGGCTACAAGGCCCTTCCGCGCGAGGCAGTCGATAGTGAATCGGCGGAGAAGTACTGGCACATCACCCCGCCTGTGCAGGAGATGACGGTGAACTCTGTGGTTACCAGCCCACGAACAGGGGAGACGGTCAGCAGAAACGAACGTGGGAATGTTGAGTGCCATGGGTACGCTCTGCTCTGCGGTGACGGCGGACCAATCGTCAAGGTCGAAGTGAGCGGTGATCATGGGCGGATGTGGATACCGGCCAATTGGAACACCATGAAGGCGAGGGCAAGCGGACGTGGAAGTTCGGGAAAGTTGAACTCCCTGTGAAGCCAGGTCCGTCGAGGCTGATCCTGAGCAAGGCGACGGGATGCCTCCGGACAGACTCAACCTGAAGCGAGACCCTGGAACTTGCGCGAGTCTGCTACAATGGCTACGGCGAGGCGAAAAAATTGACGGTCCTGTAGGCAATTTCACAGATACAGGTAGTGCCAATCGATCGTGTTATAGACGCCGACCGATTCGCCGTGTCTACGTGCTTTCCGGTCGTTGTGTCCTTGAACCCCTTTCCTCCAGCCGAATCGACTGTGGTGCAACGCAATGAGGGTTCTCTGTCAGTCGCACTCCTTCCATCTGAAAGACCTGAAATGAACTTCGCACTTTCCGCGCCATCATTCTGCTTTCACCGTACCTTACGCTTCCTCAAGCGCACGGCTGGTCCTGCGTCCTCCCCTCCCATCTACAACTTCATTTCTTGTCTACGTCGGCTACCTGGCCCACCCAATAGCCTTCAGTTATTCCGATATCACCATTCGAAGTCATCCTATCGATATGAGGATCAGACGAGTTCTCGTCGGCTCGGGGTCCGGGCACATGACCCTTCTTAATTTCGACGGCAGGGCGTTCACGCAGGTCCAGCAAGGCTAGTACGGCGGGTCTGTCCTATCATGGCTTCTGTTCAAGGATCCCGATTGGGTCTATGCCGTTGATGAGGCTTCGAGGATCATCCGCTACATGTCGTGTGATCCCACTGGGTACTCTGCCGGTACCTTGGTCTCCGAGGACAACGTCGGGTCGCATGGAGTCGTCCACCTCGCATTCAACCACGACAAGACTCGCATGGTCGCAGCTGCCTACGGTAGCAGCGGCGGTGGATATATGGGACACACCTAGTTCACAGGGACACATCAAACTCCTCAAGATCGTCTTCCTCAACGGCCAGTTGGGCCCAAACGAACAGCAGCAGACGGAAACCCAGCCTCACCAGGCCCTGCTCGATCCTACGGGCCGCTTCTGGGCTGTTCCCTCGCGAGTCACCGACACTGTCAGCATCCTTGACTCGAGCGACGACTCGTTCCGTATCGTCACCAGCTTTAAAGCCCCGATTCCCGGGAGTGGTCCTCACCATGCTGTCTTCGTCAAAAATGACGCGGGAACTAAAGCTACACATATCGTTGTCCTCTGCGAGCTGAAGAACCTTCTCGAGGTGTTCGCTGTGGATTATCGGGACGATATACTCGCATTCAGTCACATCCAGCGGTGTAAGGATGTTGCACGCAGCCCGCTGCCTGCCGACAAGCTGAAGCTGTATCAAAACAAGCATTTCTTGGGCGCGCCGAGTGCAATCGTCATCGCCACCAACCAGAGAGATATTTACGTCAGCAACCGGTTCGACAGCACTGAGGAAGACAACATATCGCGCTTCGAAGTCAAACGCCACCCCACTCGGAAGACCAGACTGCGCTATCGTGAGTCGGTCAGCAGTCGCGGCATCGGCCTGCGGATGCTCAGCCTGTCCAAGGACGAGAAGGTGATGTTCGGCTGTAACGAGAACAGTGGCAGGGGAATCCTGGCGCATTCCCGCGGAGATGATAGAAAGCTCTCGCTGATACCCGGGTCTGAGGTGGACATCATGAAGCTCGGTGGCCCCGCGGCCGAAATCATGGGCGAAATGGGCTCCCCGTGCATTATTGAGATTTGAGGACGGACGGGGTCGGCACTGGGTGTGCGAAAGGCACCGGCCGGGGTCGGAGATGGCTGGCGAGCTGCCATCTCGACTCTGGCTGACGGATCACAATATGGTGATTCAGGGCTATCAGGATCTGGGGCCCCAAATCAGTATGGCTATGCTCAACGTTTTCCAAGTCTTGTTCTGAATAGTTCACGGTTGCAGGGGTTGCGTGGGAGCGTGGGCAGCCCAGCCGCAGTCCAGCATGACATCCTGGCAGCTTCGAGGAGCATTCATTTCGCAGATGTTGGCCAAGTCGGTATTTATAGAAACCTCAATACCGGTGCCTAGCCTGGAACCCCATGCCTGCCGTCGCGCGCCCAGCCTGATTGGCCGCCCAACTTGTCGTATAATCCGTCGATGCAATGGCCTATGTGGCAGTTGGTTGACTGGCGGTGCTAGTTCAGATACCTTTAGATCATGAAACAACGCATCTGCGTAATGGGGTACTCATCGACTTAATACTGTCGATAACGAAGTAGTGCGAACTAAAGAGAAGAAACACATATATAAGATGGTCCTCCTTCCTCCCGCCCAACAGGCTACAGCTCTTGGGCATCGCCATCATCACAAGTCACACCTCCACCAACGACACAACTACCGTGTCACATTCTCTATAATCCTTCTCAACCACCCCATCAACCTTCACAACCCACACGGAAATGCAGCTCTCAACCCTCTTGCTCGCCTTCGCCACCACCGCCCTCGCAGGAGACTGGGCCGCGAACCAATACTCCAAAGCCGGCTGCTCCGACGCCGACGAGATCGGCGAGTCAGCCACCTCGACCATAGGCGACGGCACTTGCATCAGCATCGACAACTCGACTGTCGCCGTCAAGCGTGAGTAGCATCTCCAACCCCCTTTTGACGCTTGACCTCCTACCCCAGTCCACTCCACTCCAACCCCTTCCCCCGCGAGGGTTCACACATCCAAGAGACATACCTCGTACAAAATGCCGAAGCGCTGACCCCAGATACGGTTCGCAGTCTACAACGGCGGCGGCGTCAACGACAAGTGGGTCATGTACTCGGGATCCAGGTACGGGAACGCGTGCAGCGGCGACGAAGGATTGTACGTCTGAAGTCCGGGTGTCAGGACTTCGATTCTGAAATGGCCAAGTGCCTGCAGGCCGCGCCGGCGGCGTCGTCTGCAGCTGCTGCCGTGTAAATGGGGGATATCGAGCTGGTGCGGGATGAAGACTGGCACGGTGGTGGATGGTCGGCGGTAAGCCGAAGGAAATTGGCGGTGTACAGTGGCTACCCCTGATAGGAGATGAGATCTGTCACCAGAAAAATATGCGCTATCTTAGATATATGCGCTGTCTGGAGCAGTGGGGCAGCCCAAGATGGCCCGTGCCACGCCCTGTCAGGGCTTGTTATAAGTAATAGTCTAAGGCCTACCAGGCCCTGGCAGCTACCTAGCTATTAAAACGGGTAATATATAGGGTAAAATATGCGCTATTAAAGGATAAACCGGCTCGTACGGTTAATAAAGCGTATACGATATTTAATTTATATGTTATTTAATAATAAAGACTTAATTTTATAAAAGTTATAAGCTAGGAAAACATGCGCTATTTTAATATATATACGGTATAATAGAGAATTTTTATTAAAAGTATGGGCTATATATACATATATATATACGGCTGGGATATTATCAATAACGTTGTTAATCTTTATAAAAACTGTTAATATAAATATAATATACTTAGTTTTAATGAACTTCAATCGGCTAACTAAGTATATTAATAGTCCGCCACGGGACAATAAACAAAATAGCAAAGGACTCCATGCGATGGCTGAGTGTCTTCCTGGATAGAAAACTAAACTTCAAAGATCACGTTTCCTACTGGGCCAAGAAAGCTAATAGGGTAGCAAATCACCTTTAAGGACTATCCAACACAGTCAAAGGACTTCCAGTAAAGTCAACCAAGAGGGCTGTGAAAGCTTGTGTTATTCCTATTCTTACACACGGCCTGGAGGCCTGGTACCCAGGAATCGAGAAAGTTGGGAGCTTAGGTGGGACATCAGCATGTCGCATTAATGGGCTTCTTGGAACAATAGATGCTGTACTACGAACGGCGATCAGGGCTATCTTGCCGGTCTAGAAAACACACCCTGGACATATCCTACACTTTGAATCACAGATTCCCCCAGCAAGAGTTCTTGCAGAGTCAATAAGACGACGTCACGGCCTCCGACTAGGATGAATAGACCAGAGACACCCTCTTGTTGGCAGGCTCCAAATACAAGCTCGCAAGAATCCAACAAGGCTACAAAGGAGCTTCCAGTTAGTCCCTGACTTCCAGAGACCAATACTTACCAGGCCATTATGGAAGAAACCTCCAATCTGTAAAAACAAAGACAAAGAAACAGAGCTCTTCAAGCAATGGCTACAGGAAAGAAACGTGAACACTGACCTTGTCATCTATTCAGATGGATCACAGTTGGACGACCAAGGCACAACCCGCACTGGATGGGGTTACACCATCAGGAAAGGCGGCACTACACAAGAAATATACCGGGGAAAGGGCAAACTTCTCTAAGCAGAAGTAGTAGATGCTGAAGTCCATGGTGCTCTCCAAGGTCTTGCAGCAGCCAGGGCAATTGGACACGGAAAACAGCTATATGTCTGCCTGGACAACACGTCAGTGGTAAATGGGCTCAATGGGACTCCACCCGAGACATCACAGAACAATTTTCTACGATTTCAAGAACTTGCTACAGCACATACTCCTGGAGTGACCGTCAAGTGGATTCCTGGACACAGAGATATTAATGGCAACGAAGCTGCCGACACACTAGCAAAAGAGGGTGCCATGCTAGAAACAGACACAACAAACCTTCCTATAATCTCTTGGGTCAAGAGAGATCTCAAAAAAAAAGGGCAAGAAAGAGTTCAACCAATGGTAGAAAGACCAATCAGAACCTAGGTATCAAGAAGTATACTCATATACAGTAACTAAAAGAGACCTTATATCTTTTAAGAGGAGTACTTTACACAGACTTCTAGCGGCCAGATCTGGACATGGCGACTTTGCCATATACCACGAACACTTTGGGCATACAGACTCGAATGATCACTGCAACTGTGGTGAAAAGAAAACACCATAATATATTTTCTTTTGTAAGAGTCTGCGGAAAAATCGGCTGTTGCCTAGGTACTCGCCTAGGACAGCCTGTTTACAATACTTGGGGGAGAGGAGCACAGAATGGGCAAGATTTGTTGAGAAGAGCAAGTTCTTTTCATCAATCTGCCCCCGATAGATAGCTGTTCTTGAAGGACCAGATAGATGACCCCAAAGTCATACAGCCGCAACAACGGGGATAGGCTCGTGAGCGGGACTGACTGTACTTATTATCTTGATACCTCCACAACCCTGCAATGCAGAGGCTCTGGGAGGCGTGGTTTGCACTACTGAGGAGCGATCCTCCACGTTAAATACAATCAATCATCAATCAATCATAAGTATATTAATATTACGAATTTTGATATTACGTTATTATTAGTACCTTAATATTTTTATTAAATTTAAGTAAGGTTAAAACTTGCCTTTTTTTAAAAATAGTATTTATTAAGTTGAAGTTTAATATTTTTAAAAGAGAAAGAAAGGCTTAATCCTAACTCGAACTTTTAAATATTTTAAATATTATATACACAAAAGATTTTATGCGAAAAATATAACTATCATTATAATCATAAGTTTTATGCTTTATAATTATGGCTTTTAATCCGCTTATATCATAACGAATTAAAAATTATATTTTTATTATATTTTTATTATATTTTTTATTGCCTTCGATTTTTTAATCACCTCGTGTATACTTACATTCGTATTTATTTTTAAAGAACAACCACTATTTTACCATTATTCGAAGGTTATTACTATGAATACGTAAACTTTCCCATTTTAAACATTGATTTTCGTAAGTCACTATCGTAAAAACCTTACTATTAATATAAATGGGTTACGTAAAAATGAATATTACTTCCTGTATTCCTATACAATAAAGTATTAAGTAGTTCAAGAGACGTATATATTATAACAACTATTAGTTAAATAATATAATCTTTTTATAATACCAGAATTCTATGATATTTTATTTTATAAAACTTGTTTTTATAAAAGATATATAAATATAAAATATTAGAAAAAAGATTGTGCTATGTGATTTTATCTTTGAATTATTATACGTTATATTTCTATATAACGTTCAATTTTTAAGTTTATAATAAAAAACCCTTTCTCTTTTCTAAGATTATTTTTAAAGCCGATCCTTAAACGTTTTATATCCGGTTTTCGACTAATACCGATGTTATAAAACTTATCGATATTAAACTCTGAAAAGATTCAATCTTTATCTTTAAAAAGCTTATAAATATTATTATAAAGTTAGAAACATGAAGTTTAACGTTTTATATTATCGCTCAATCTATAAATATAATAAGCATTATACCTATAAGTTCAAACATAGTAAATGAATATACTAATCTTATTAAGTTTAACATAAATTAATTAATAACTTAAGCTTAATTATATTCTTTGTATTATAAGAATAACTTGGTTCCTCTTTACGTTTACCGATAGCTATATTGTATAACCGGTTATAAGAATTGAAATTCGAAGAAAATAGTAATTTAATAATATATATATATATCAAAACGCATATATAGTTGTGACGTTCCGTATATGTGAATAGGACATAGAAGCCCTTGTTTACTATGTACGTATAACTATCTCTGGCTGAAGAGGAAAAAGAAGATCGAGCGGCGTAGCCAAATCTGGTGGGCAACTAGATAAGTGTGTCCGCCCCACAATTCAGCGCCCTAGTGGGTCGGTGACAACCAGTCGTCCAGGAGGCCACGTGCTGTCACGTGATCTAGGACCATCACCGATGGTAGCGACGTAGCAAACATCACAATAGTCTTAGAAATTTATTTACTAATAAATAAAATCTTAAAAGGTTGTCGTTATTTTAACCTATTTAATAAATTTATAATAAAAGCAGTAAAACTATTTAACAACATCGCACTTATAAAAAAGCATGCTTTTATTTTCACCTTACTTTTTAATGCTTATAAAGCTTTTATTTATTTATACGGTTTTCATTATAAGCTCATTAACTTTTCATTAAAAACCTCAATACTAATTCTACGAATATTGAATAATAGTTTGTCGTTATAAAAAATATAAAGGTAATATGCAGATAGAGAAAAATATTATTCTACTTATATATATATATATATAATAAACACTATATTTATAGTTATATCTACCTTCTTTTATATAATAACAACCCTTATTATTACAGCGTTAATTAAACTTCAAAATATAATATTAACGGGTAATATTTGGGCCTATAGTAATTTTATTTAATGACATATATAAAATAAAATATATAAGGCTTTTTTTCAAAATATAACATGAAGGTAAAAATCTTGATTGCTTTTATATAACACTTTAAACAAAATTCATTGTTTAAAAAAAAAAAATTCTTCACTTCCCTTTCCGTTACATGCTTCTATATGTCATTAAACCCCGTATAAGACCACATGACACAGCCTTACTTATCGACCCATTTCACAGAAAATACTTTAAAACGTAAATAGACGTATAAGATAACCTTAAATATATCTATACTTTATAATAATCGCTACCGATAAAGCGAAATAAGGTACGAAAAAACAAATAATAATAAAAATTATTAAAGCCACGTTATATAAAAAACTTATAAACTTTAAAGCTGATATAAAACTGATTAAAATTACGCCGAAAAAAGTCTTGAACTTTAAGTCTAACCGATTATAATAAAAACGCCGTCCGACTCGTATACAATGGCCGTTTTCTTTTTACTTCTATTGCAACAGGCTCAACCGATCAATCATAATACTTGAGTATGGGTCAAAGTTCATGATGTTGCTGATGGGTTGGATTGGGACGCCTAGCTGGACTTGCAGGTCTGGCTAAGTGACCTCGCAATCCAGTATCTAATCTCTTATCTAATCATACATGTGGGCTTAATATATATGGGTTGCATAAATTCTGTTTATACATAAATATATAGTTTAACGTTAAAA